ATAAACCGCAAGGCTCGAATAATCGTACCTCCTCTTCCCAAATTCTCCACTTTTTTATACGTAAATCTGAGCGTCAATTAGAGAGACATTACTGTATCTGCCGCTCCGGCGCTGTAAATCCGCGATTCGTCGAGGAGCTTCCGGCTCCACCGTCACTCGCGACTTCTTCAAAGGTCTACAAAGGCAAATCGACTTCTTCAAGGGTCTACCCGCGGTCTACAAAAGCAAATCGGGGATCGGGAATGTTATCGCTGCAAAGCTGCGCGATCGCGTTTCTACCAAATTGATCGCGGTTCAAACGTACCGCTTTGGGAGATCGATAGACGATAGAGCATCGCAGGAAGGCGAACCTCGGAGCTATTTAGCTCGATTTGCTTCTGATTGGAAGCAAATGCGATGCGGTGGAAGGCACGCTGCTCGCGGTTGCTCGCGTGTCCCGACTGGATTCGGCTCGATTCGTAGCTCGATTCTAGCTCGTGGACAGCGTGCTAGATTCAGTAGGTCGTAGGTACGGTGAGTCCGCCTCCTTCGCACGGCCTCGACGTCGCGTCGACGAGTCTCTGGCCTCTTCTGGTCGCGAGAGCGGCGTTCGCGCGAAAAAAGGCTGAAGCCGCGTTCATAGATGCCTTGCCGCGTGGCCAGAGGGGACAGTTTCGATCGCAGGGTTCTCGTATACTCGTTCCCGACGATGCAAAGTTCAGAGATCGATGCCAGGAAAGTAGCCGACCCGGTAACGCTCTCTTCATGTTCTCGTTAACCCTCGGAGATTTGCAAAGTACAGGAAATTCTCGCTAATTGCGCTCAGATTGTACACAAAAATGGGCAATTTGGGATATATATAGATAGATTGGGATACGATTATCGTTTTTATAATTATCGATTGTCAACAAGGACGTCGATTAGAGAGAAATCACTGCACCAAGGCATCCATAGACGCAGAATCTAGCCGAATCGCGAGCGTCGCTTCCGAATTTGGAGCCGCGGGGCAGACGCGGAAGTCGAAGACGCCGGTGAATTGTTCGAGAAACTTTGACTTTTGTCCATAGGACGACGCGAACGAGAAAGACCTCGGAAATCCAGCAATCGAATTTTTCCGAGTTCCGCGTCGAGGAGGAAGCGGGAAAGCAGAGTGCGGCTCGCTTTCGTCGATTTCTCTGCAGTTTCCACGCGTGTCGCTCCTCGTGCCGGTTTCATATCGAGCGCCGGGATTAGAATTGAATTCGAGACGTGCTCGAAGAACCGTTCCCACGCGAACTTTTGAGACGCGCAAAAGTAGCCCGAGCGCGTGACGACGGTGCCGAGCCGAGCCGAGTCGAGCGGAGCCGAGCCGCGCTAACGAGGGACCTTTCCCTCGTCGAAACATTTTGCTTTTCTCGATGCGGCGCGCCGCGGCACCGTGCTCAGAGAAACTATCTCCCCGATGTCGGGGGTCCACAAGTTTCTTTTCCCGTGTCCCGTTCCGACGAAAATTACCGGCATTACCGCGACAATGGCGACCGCGACGCGCGTCCACCGCGAACCTCGGACACTCCTTTCCGTTCTCCAACGATCCTGAAGACCGGCAACCGTACGCCGCTCAAGCGCCGTTCGTTGAACCCCGCGAAATCCTATTTTCACGGACAAAGAGCTGCTGCTGGCTGGAGTACGGCGCCGGAATAATATTCTTCGATAAATAAAAGATGCGTTATTTAACCCTTAGCGCTCCACGCGTTCCTCGAGTACCACCTACCAGCATCTCCGGCACATTTTTGGAACAGAGCGCCTGAGATAAAGGAAGTCTTATTTTGAGCGGAAAAGATTACACGTCCTTGTGAAAGCGTTTTCGGATTTACGGAACAAATGACGGATGTCTCCATAGCGGAGCCAACGGAGCGCTAAGGGTTAAAAAGCGACCGTTGCAATGGCGATTCGCCTATCCCGCCGCGATACGTCTGTACCATTCCGGAAAGCCTCGGAGGCGAATATAATTTTTTATAAGGGAAACGACTTTATCGCTAAACCTACCATTCCGGTCGAAACGACCGGTCTTACACTTTTTATTCTCGAATCGTTGAAATCGTGAACGCTCCATCTCTCAAGATACGATCGAATAAATTCCTTTGTACAAGCTTGTCCTGTGATTTTTATAAAACGCCGCTGGTTAGTCGCTTTCAGAACTCGACAAGTCGGTTTAGCGTTAACAGAGAAGAGAAAAACGAGTCGAGCGCGAACGGACACGCGTTTTAGCGGCTGCTTCGGTCGTTTCGAGTCATCGAGTTGCTCCGTGCTCGGGAGAAAGAACCTCTCTGTGCGCACACGTAGTCGTTGAATCGCAACAGTATGCAAAAGTATTTCGCCGCGACCAAGATTGGAAAGTGGGTTGCGTTTAGAGTTAGCACGGCGAGCCGTCTTCCGCGGGGCTGTCGGTGCGAGAGAGGCCCGAACGGGCCCCGAGTCGTTAATCGTTCCGCGAAACGGTGTGCCGGCAGTCTGTCGCTCGTCTAGATTTATTCCGTTTGACCGTGTTTGCACGGTCGAGCGACTCGTGTCAATAAACTCTCGGTTCTCCAGCGTGCAGCATCCAGCGCGGAGCCGAGCGCGCGCGCGCTTCGTCGTCGCGTCGCGTCTCGATCGAGCAGAAATGTCGAGTGGCAGTCGTCGAAACTCTGCCGGTGTGCATCTTTTGTTCTCTCGTTCAGCCCAAGTCGTGTCGAGTCGAGTCTCGTCGGAGTCTCGTCGGAGTCTAGACGCTTTTATGACAGCGCGAGGCGCGCGTAAGCTTCGACGACGCTTCGCTGTCGCAGAGAGACCAGAGACTGTCGTAAACCGTCGCGAGCGGTCATGAACCGTCGTCGGACGCGAGACCTTCCGGCGACCTTTCGCGCCGGACATTTTTAGACGACACCGATCTTCCGACCTCTCCTGCTCTTTACCGTAATTCACTGCTGATCCGTCGCCACGCGTTCGTTACGTCGCGATCGTCGCGCTGCAATCTTATTGCACATCCGAAGCGAGATACACGGTACCGGACAAACGTATTCGGACACCCAAAACACCTGTCGTTTTCGAAACTGGACCAGACGACTCGGATCATTTCCAGATGAAAAAGGGACCGGTCTACCGGACAATGACTAAAATGATTTTCAGTGGGTTCAACGAGAGGGCGCAAAGGTTCAGTAATGTCTCCCTAATTGATTGTCCAGAAAAATGGACAATTTGGGAAGAGGAGCCTTGCGAATTCGAGCCTTGCGACTTGCTTTTATAAAATGCCAACGATTATAAAAACATGGTGCAAAGCCGGAATAATCGTATCTCCTGTTCCCACATTGTCCACTTTTCTGCACAATGTAAACGTCAGTTAGGAAGACATTACTGTGTAACGTTCGCGATATCCTCGACTAAAGTGCTCTTCTCATAATTTCGCTATTACTTGTAACGACAGAAAATGAATAAAAAATAGAAGCAACGGAAACGAGCATCCCCAGAATTGTTCAGCACCGGCAAGAAAGTCGAGTCTCCGATTCTCGTTGTACAGACGTGTGCGCGGCACGATGGCTAGAAGAGGAGAAGAGAGGAGTCCGGTTATCTAACGGGCGCTAAGTCGAGCGACCTCGTTGCGGCCGGATTACGTAGCGGCGGTGTTTTGCTGGCGTAATATCGGGACAAATGGTAGCCGCGCGAAAGAAATGCCAATCTCCGGAGCCGGGTTTATTGACACGTTGCGGTTTCGGCGGACGGTGACGGGCGAATCGTGATCCGATGGCGGATCGCCGACTCGCCGATCGCCGCGCGCGACTCGTCGTTTCGCATTTCGCGTTTCGCGTTTCGCGTTTCCCGCCACCGCAGACCCGCAGCCGGCCGCGCGGCTCCAATCTGTATCTCGCCTCGGCGGTACTCACCTGGAAGCGGACAGTTTAATTGTCCGGTTAATTGATTCGTCGCGACGTTAACTACACGCACCGGAATATCGTGGCGAACCTGCCCAGCAGCCGGCTATTAAACCCGCCGTCGCGGGACTCGGTTGCATAAACGGCGACGCGCGTAACCTTGCGCCTCCGTCGAGCATCCAGCCGCTTTTTCCGTTCGGAAACACGAGCCATTCTTTTCGAACGCGGTGCAGCGATTAGACCGATTATCTGGCTCGCTCCGGTTAGAGAACAAACGCTTATTCCTATTAGCGTCGTTGCCGCGCGACGCTAACAATCGCGCGGCGAGAACTCGGTTTCTTTTCCGCGAGCGTCGTCGCGACCGCTAAACGTTGTTCGAGCCAGCTTCCGATCGGCGGTGACGCAACCCAACAACAACAAGACGAACAACATTTGCTCGCGACTCCGCGGGTAATTATCGTCTCGAGGTTTATTGCCGGCCGCGAGGCGCAGCAGCGCTAATTAAACGCAATTAATGCTCGATCGACGGCGAACCGGTTCTCGTTGTATCCGCGGCACGCGATTACCCCAAGTAGGATCGTTATCGAACCATTCGCGTTATCGTAACGCGGCATTCGGACATCGATTAGCGGCGCGACTCGTTTGCCAAAATTCTGCCGATTCGAAATCACGGAACGGACGCGGCGGAATCCTGCGATCGAAGCGGGCCGTTCGCAATTAGAAGCTCCCGGGTCGCTTTCGTCGAGTTGGCAAGCGGCGGATCGAAGATCGAGTTATCCTCCCCTTCGAAATAAACTCGAATCTCTCGTGTCTCGAATGCTCGCCTTTCCTACCGATAATTAATATCCGATCCGCTAAACGGACCGTCCCTGGACCTCCTCTCTCTCTCCTCTCTTCTCTCAGTAATTGCGATCGCGGCCGATAGCTCTTTCCGCGTTCGAGGCCGGCGATCGGGCGCTTCGAAAAAAAGCGACTCGAAGCTGTTCCAGCTAGCCGAACGGAACAATAACCGACGTAAACTCCGCAAAAAGCTAACCAACGGACCGAGGGAGGATCGCTGCCGGCCGCGGCGGATCTACGGTACTCCGGGCTGGTTTTTCAGGGTTTTGTGAAATCGTTCGTCGTCTGTTGCAGCTGCACCGTGGTGCTGTTCAATCCTCGGAAGAACACCCAGGCCCACGTGTTGAACGCTTGTCGCAAAACAGTGACCTCTCTGGCTTTGGCCGGCGACGGTAGACTGCTGGCGACCGGCGAATGCGGACACATGCCGAACGTTCGCGTCTGGGACATCTCCGATCCGTACAACGCCGTGCAGATCGCCGAGTTCTCCGGGCACAAGTATGGCATCAACTGCGTGGTGAGTCCGATCAAGCAATCGATTAAACGCGACCGGGACCCGATCGAAAAGCGCGTTCTCGAATGCGACGCGACTCGGCTCGGCTCCGCTCCTCCGGCAATCTCTGAAAAGACAGGGCACGCACGGGGAAGCAACTGGGTTGAGAATCTGATTCGCAGCGCGCCACGCGAGCGCGCGGTTTCGAACGAGCTTTTATCGGCGCGCTCGGCTTTTTCGTCCGCCTTTTCAGTTTCCAATTTCAGCGGAAGAAGTTTAACGAGCGGCACGGAGGCGGATGCAAAGCCTCCGAGCTCTCCGTCGAACTCGATTTGGACGACGGCCGCAATTACACGGAGCTTTTGTTTCTCGGAACTTCCGGCGCGCGGATTCGTTCGTGGCGTTCTTGACCCTAAGCGTCCTCTTCTCGCGAGCGGCATTTCGCTCCGGGAGACAGATAGATGCTCGCTTAACAAAAATCCACGGCAGTTTTACGCTTCGCGATCGCAAAAACGCCACCGTGAGCTTCCATTCGAGCCGCATTCCCATTCCCGGGAATGCTCGCGACGAAAAAGGGCCGCGCCCGACGCCGATGCCGATGCCGATGCGCGGCCGTGACGCGCTTACGAGCTTACGGTTGCGCCGTCGCTCGCATCTTAATCAAGGTCCGCTGATTTTATACCTTCGCGACGCGCCCACCTTCGAAGCGTCGCGACGCGCGAGCCGTTTCCGCGACCGCGAAGTCCTCGCCGGCGGGAACGCTCTCCGATTCCGATTCCTCGCGTTCCTCGGTTTCGAAATGCCCTCGCTCCGTCCGCTCTCTTCGTCGCCTGTCCTTGAAGCGTGCCCTTGAAACCTATTTTATCAGACCGCGTTCGTCTTCCAGCCGCGAACGTCTCGGTTCTCCGAAGGACGAACGCTGCGGAAGCTGCCGGCGAGCGCGGAGGAGCCGAGGAAACGCGCAGAAGCGGCCGATCGCTTCGGGTCGCCGCGCAGAAAATACGAAAGTCGAAGCTGCGAACACCGGGCGGTTCGATTCGCGGCATCGTAACCTCTTTTTACAATAATCGCGCCCACGCGGCTCGAGTCGCGGGCAACTTTCGCGCTCCGCCCAACGGCAGCGTGGAAAACCGAGCGACAAAAGGGTGGGCGGCACGCGAGAACGCCTCCGTCGCGGCGTCTTTTCCTCGTTCCGTCTCTTACCGCGATCCTTTTCGAACATTCTGCTCCACTAACGAAACCGAACCCCGTCGCGGCGCGGAGATCTTTGGCATTCGGCTCACGGTTATCCGCGCACCCTCGCCTCGCCGCGCCTCGTCACGCCGCCGCGGCCTCCGTTTTACAAGGCGTCGTCGACAGGCCGAACCGCGTGAATACGAAACAATCTTTCACGCTGAACCCGCAACGGTATCCCTTTTATTGTTCTCCGGGGTTCCTCTCCGACGACGACTCCACAGTGCGACGATCTTTCCTCGAAGCGCCGCGCGAGTCCCTTCGCCCCGCGCTCTCCTCTTCCGAGTCGATTCAACCAGGATTCTTCCTTTGGTTTCTTCGCTGAAACAACCGTACCTTCCACCGGTTACACAACTTTTGGCACCGGGTTTTCTTAGCAATTCTACGAACTTGGAAATCCGTCCAGCTGGAACGTCCGTTCTTTGGAAACGAAGATTCGTAGAACGGGGACAGGGCTTTCGAAACGGATCGCTGACGGAGAACCGAACGACGAGGGTTCAGTTGTCGTTTGGGGAGCAGAATGTCTCGTTACAGTGTCCCCGCAACGTCGAATTCGCGTGTCGTTCTCTCCGCGTTCGATCGATACGACATCCTCTCTCGTTTCCTCGCGTTACTTCCGCGCCGCGCCGCTCGACGCAGCTCTCCGCGTCGCCTCGCGTTTTCATTTCCGTTTCTGAACGCTTTTATTTCGCTCGTTATCCGCGTTAGACACACTGAGGTTCGCGGCAGAGTAGCTCGGCATTATTTCGCGCCGAGTGGCCGTGTTCGCGAGAGCGCGCGCGGTCCTCCGCGGAACCAGGAAACGCGCGGTGTTCTCCGCGTCGCGGCTAACGTGCCGCGAGAGGAGAGAATGCCGCGTTTGTTAACAAGATAAATGCCGGGTGTATATCTCTACGCGGGCTCCACTGTTCTCCCCTTTCTTTCTTTCTTTCTGTCTGCCCGTCTGTCTTTCTTTCTTTCTTTCCGTTCGTTTCCTCCTTTTTTTATGATCCGCTTTTCTCTTCCCAAGGCGTTTTCACCGAGCAACAAGTACGTGGTGTCCGTGGGATCTCAGCACGATATGATCGTCAACGTCTGGGACTGGAGGAACAATGTTAAGGTGGCGTCGAACAAAGTCTCGAGCAAAGTGAAGGCCGTCTGCTTCGCGGAAAACGGCAATTACTTTGTTACCGTGGGCAACAGACACGTCAAGTTCTGGTATCTCGAGTACTCGCGCAGCGCCAAGGTAATTCCCTTCTTAATTCGGCCATTTTGCATTAATCCCGCTCGCTCGCCCTCGGGCCACGCTAATCTCGCCCGAGGGAACCAATTTTTCTTGCTTTTGCTTGCCTCTGCAACGATAATCCTGTTCGAATAAACCGCGGATTCGCTATTGTGTATTAATATTAGCTTTTAGTTCTGTATTATACAAAATGGTCTTTTTACCTTTTACTTTGCACAATATAAATCAATTAAATCGAATCAAAGACAGAAGACTTCGATGAATTTCTCCCGGGCGAGTAGTCGTGCTCGCGGAGTTTCAGTAATTTCTCCCTTACTGACGCTCGGATTGTGCACTCAGAATGTCCAGATTGTGGACAATTTGGGAAGAGGAGATACGATTATTCGAGCCTTGCATCTCGTTTTTTACAGTTGTTGACAATTCGTAACTATAAATATGAACCGCAAGGATCGAATAATCGTCTCTCCTCTCTCTAAATTGTCCATTTTTGTGGACAATCCGAGCGTCGATTGGAGAGACATTGCTGTATATCGCGTTGGTTCCCGCATGCGGGGAATAAAAGCGATCGCTAGGGTCGCGGGAGAGCAAGGAAGACTCGCAGCCGAGTAACGGTAACGCGAAGGTGGTGATAGAGGCAATTTTGTTGCACAGTATAAGGAACCTGTGCCTTTGATGGGTCGGTCCGCCATATTAGGAGAGCAGAGAAACAACGATTTCGTGGACGTGGCTTGCGGCCGCGGGGATATGGCGGATTCCACGTACGCGATCACCAAAACGGGCCTTCTGTGCGAGTTTAATAACAGGAGGCTGCTCGACAAATGGGTGGAGCTTCGCGTAAGTACCTCTTTCTGTTCCCGACAGTGTCGCGTCGCCGTTTCAGCGCCGGCTGTCGCGTTATCGCAAACAAATCCGCGGAGGGACGCCGCACGGTCGGCCAGCGAAACAAGCAATTTCGGGCCGAGTCGAAATGCCAAGTGGCCGGTGTAGATAAATTCGTCAGGAATCCCGACGGTCCGGGCAGCCGTTGAACGCGTTTAATCCTCGGACCGCGATCGCCGGGTCGTTACGTGCCCCGGCGAATTCGAAAGGTCGCCCGGCCGCTCGACTTCCGGCGATCGAATCGAACCACTATGCCGTTACGAAGATCGTCCGAGGATTAAAATTACAAGTTGGCCGGCGAGATCTCGGCCGTGTCGCGATCGTTGCGATCGTTGCGAAAGTAGGCTTCCTTTTTCAGACCACGAGCGCGAACTGCATGGCCGTGGGAGACAAGTACATCTTCATCGGGTGCGCGGAAGGTATCGTCAGGTGTTTCAGTCCCAGCACGCTTCAGTTCATCACCACGTTGCCGAGGACGCACTACCTTGGCGTGGACGTTGCGCAGGGTTTGTCGATCAGGTACGCGTCGTTGCCCTTTATCCCGGAAACCCTTTTTCCACGCGGATCGATTCGCCTAGATAGACGGCCAGGATCGATTCGGTTAACCAGGAGAATCCGTTTCGCAGTCACATGTCGCAGCATCCGGCGAACGCGAGGTACCCGGACGCGATCGCGCTCGCGTTCGACGAGCGGAACAACAAGCTGACGTGCGTGTACAACGACCACAGCATCTACGTGTGGGACGTGAGGGACATCAGGCGGGTCGGGAAATCGCACTCGTTCCTCTACCATTCGGCTTGCATCTGGGGCGTCGAGATGTACCCGACGGGGTCCGAGTCGGTGGCCGCGGTGCCCGCCGGCAGCTTCATCACCTGCTCCAGCGACGACACGATCCGCGTGTGGAACCTGGAGAAGGACGTGTCGCCGAGCGACACGCTCTACAAGCGCAACATCTACAGCAACGAGCTGCTCAAGGTCCTCTACATCGACCCGGAGCTGACCTATCTGAAGGACCTGGACCTGGCCGCGGCCGGCTCCACGGAGAAGAGCGACGCCTCGTACGACGGCCGCAACGGCGTCCGCTCGATCCGAGTCAGCCCCGACGGCAAGCATCTCGCCTCCGGCGACCGGTCCGGCAACATCCGGATCCACGACCTCTCCTCCCTGGAAGAACTCTACCTGATCGAGGCTCACGACGCCGAGGTGCTCTGCCTCGAGTACTCAAAGTTCTCCAAGTACTCCGCCGAGTCGCCCAGGCTGCTGGCCAGCGCCTCCAGGGACAGGTTGATCCACGTGTTCAGCGTCGATCAAGGGTACAACTTCTCGCAGACGCTCGACGACCACAGCTCCTCCATTACTGCCGTCAGATTCTTCAATCAGAGCAACCAGAGCAATCAGATTCAGATGGTGTCCTGCGGCGCCGACAAGAGTATTATTTTTAGACAGCTGCAGTCGGTGAGTCCCCCAACCCCGTCGAGCAAAACTCTCTCTCTCTCTCTCTCTCTCTCTCTCTCTCTCTCTCTCTCTCTCTCTCTCGCTCTCTCGGACAACGAATCGTTCGCTGTGTTTCAGACGCCGGGCGGGATGCCGCAGTTCGCTAGGGGCCACAACGCTCAGGGAAAGACCACTCTCTACGACATGGAGGTCGATTCCGGGCAAAAGCACGTTCTAACTGCCTGCCAAGATAGGAACATAAGAGTGTACAACGTGGCCACCGGCAAACACAGCAAAACGTTCAAGGGATCCGTCGGGGAGGACGGGTCTCTTATCAAAGTCGTCCTAGGTACGAAATACCGACCCTTCGCTCCGGCTCTCCGTTGGATCATCCTCGCTAATTCATCGCGTTTCGCGTTCCAGATGCGTCGGGAATTTACGTAGCTACCTCGTGTACAGATAAGACATTGTGCGTGTACGATTACTACAGCGGCGAGTGCATGGCCACCATGTTGGGCCACTCGGAATTGGTGACCGGGCTGCGATTCAGCCCGGATTGCAGGAACCTGGTGTCCGCCAGCGGAGACGGCTGCATATTCGTCTGGCGAGTTCCCCGGGACATGGTCGTCACCATGCAGGCCCGCCTCGCCCAGCAGGCGATGCGAGCTGGAAAGTAAGTCTATCAAAATTATGATACTTCCGGGAAGTAGTCATACTTCTTCTCCTACAACTTTCTCCTTAGCGAAAATGCAATCCGCAGCTTCGTTTACGAGTTATTAAAGAAAAACATGGACCAATGAGAGAGGGAGTGCGGCCGACGCCCCGCCCTCACGGCCAATGCCGCGTCGCGTCGGTCGTAAGACGCAGCGGTAGTGGTCGCGAGGGCGGAGCGTCGACCGCACTCGCTCTCCGATTGGTCCATTTTTTCCGTTAATAACTCGTAAACGAAGCCGCGGATTACTGTAATACTTTGAGTCTGTGATTATGCACGCTACCGTACGTGTGCATTATGCGAATTATTAGGCGAGTCGCTTTAATATGATAGGACGAAGGAGAATGCGAACTATATGAAGAGAGTATTATGCGAACTATTGTAAGAGAGTATTATAATATATTATTATATTATAGAGTATATAATACTATTATATTATAGAGTATTATAATACTATTAATTAATCCTTCAATTCATCTAATCAGCTGATGTAAATCGTCCTTACTCGTTACGAACTCTCTAACTCGGTGCGACGCGTATCGACGCGTGTCACGGGCTAACCGACTCGATAGTAGGCTAATCTGGATATCGTGTCTGCGCTTAGGAGGCCGCCTCAGGTGAACGGTACCGGGATAGACATCCAATTGGACAACGAGACGTTCGGATCGCCGCCGCCCGAATTCCTAGACCCGAACGCGAATCCCACACCGCAGAACGTGGGCGTCGATTATAGGTTCAGCGTGGGCCAGCTGCCGCTTTGGGCGAAAAAGCAGATAAACACCGCGAACGCCGACGAAACGACGACCCTGGCCGCGAACCCGAGGTCCCTCGGCGTCGATCTGCCGAAGGGCAGGTGGGCGCAGAGGGTGCAGCAGGGCGACGGCATCACCGTCAAGTCTGTCTACGACAGCGACGAGGTGATACCGTTCCCTCCGCCTCGCGGGGCCCTCGATTCCGACGGCGGCGGTGGCGGCGGTGGGTCCAAGGACAGCTCCATCGACAGCGGGACCGAGACCAAGTGCAGCAGCGACTACCGGAGGGAAACCATCATCATCAAGAGGGTACACGTTCGCTTGCTGTACTTGCGGCTTTTAACCCCTTGCCATGCTTCGACGAGTCCGACGGAGATCTGTTAACGTTGTTAATTCTTGTGCTCCGGTCTCGTCGACGTTTCAGCGACGATTCAGCATTGAAAGTATTTTTTTTAAGTACGACAAGCGACCCGAGATTGTACCGCTATCTTTTAAAGAACAAGAATAGCATTCCGAAGGATCTGGTCACGGAGCGCGTTCGACCTCTCGGCACTCGGCCAAGAACCGTCGAGGAATACGTAATTTTAATTTCGAGAACGAGCATACGAACTTTCCGTTTCTTCCAAGAGATTCTTGCAATCGAAAACGCGCTCGAATCGTCGCGAAGAAAATGGCACGGCAAGGGGTTGATTAACCGGTTAGCTGTGGCGTCTCCTTTTCAGAGCGCGCTCTTACACGTTAAACACGGCTAACCGGTTAATCGTTAACTCGGTTAACGAACGATCCAGGAATCAACGCGGCCGAATCATTAATCGTCCGATCGAATAACATTTAACCCTCGATAACTCGTTCTAGGACGAGGACGAGACTGTGTTCCAGCCTTGTCCGGATAGTTACAGAGAACTAGCGGATGACCCGAAGCAGGTACTAACCGATTCCCAGTGACCAAGTAACTACAGTAATCTTTGTTCGTGTCCCGCGAGTGTTGTGTTTAGTGTGCGCTTTCGAGCCAACGGGAAACCGCCGACGAGAGAGATCCAGGGATCCGATGACAGAGGAGACCCGTCTCCCTCTCGTTGTTTGTCGTTCGTTTCCCGTTCGATCAGCTTTTTATCGCAGCCTCTATATCTCACGTACACGTTCTCTTTATCTCCCCCCCCCCTGCCCCCTCTAACTGTCTCGAATTGTTGCTCCTCCATTTGATTCGCACCGCCCCAATTTTATATCCGTCCGCGCGACTCTCATTCGTTTGTTTTTCCTTTTTTTTTCTGGTTGATTCTATTTTATTTTTTGAACCGATGCGGCGTAGGTGATCGGTGGTCACGTGACGGTAACTAGAGGTAGCAATATCACGGAATTGACACGTCAGTCGAGGAGTCGTCACCATACCGACGACAGCAGCCTTGGCAGCTTTAAATTTGAGGTACTTCCGACCGACGCCTCGGACACAACCCGACCATAAAGCGCGGCCGTCGTTCGTACAGCCATACACACGCACACACGGAGAACAGAGACACGATACTTGTACACGCTCGTTTCATATTATACCACCGCTTCTCAATTTGATTTTTGTTCGCTGCTTACAATTTGTCGCGCCACTCTAACCCTGAACGCGCGTTCAGACACTCGATACTCACGCTTTCGATAACCAACCGATTCGAAACCCCATATCGGTGGTCCGTGATATCTAATACCGCGTCCCTGTACGCTCCTCCAGGACCACGAGAGCACGGAGCACGACGGCGACGTGGAGGATTACTCGGAGGGTGAGAACGGGACCACCGGCTCCGAGAAGTCCCATCACAGGCTGATGTACTACCCGGCTCCGGAGGACACGATATCGAATCAGTTCACCGTGAACGCGATGGACGTGGAAGAGCTGAGGAGGTTCGTTCGTCGACGGAATTGCAGACGGTCGAGATTTCCCTCCTTCTGAAACTGTTCTCGTTGTAGATCTCAAAGGCGGCAGAAGAAGCCGAGGAACGGAGAGAGCGGCCGGACCAGCGAGCTGACCGCGTCCGGCAGCCAAGACGACTCGGATTCCGAGGGCGGAGCCTCGACTCCCAGCGCCGAGAGGAATCCTCTGTCCATGCTGTCGGAGGCCAGCTCCGAGGGTTTCGACCAGCTGGCGAAGCAGAGCCATCGCGAGAAGTTCCTCAAGAACGCTTTCGAATCTCTCAGCGGAGCCGAGGAGCCGTCCAACAGGAGTCCGAAAACAACTAGCATCAGCTCTCAGTTTCACGGAAGGTAATGTCGGTCGCGGGGTTATAGAAAGAAAACGAGTTCTCGAAGAATCGACAAAATCTAAATATTAAAACCGTGCAGGCTCAGCGGTGGCACCGACGGCAGCGGCAACAACAAGGTTCGCAATCAGGCCGTGGTGAACGCGACCAAGCAGGCGAGAGGGGACGCGGACGTGACCAAGAAGCGCGAGGAGTTGCAGAGGAGAATAGAGGAGACACGGAGAAAATTGCAAAGCGTAAGTCCCTTCCGCCTTCGGCAATTGTAAGCAGATGTTGGTGGGCGGAGGTTGAGCGCGTCTGTCGCGGTTCCAGGTGGGCTACAGGTCGTCGCTAAAGACCAGCCAAAGCATATCCGACTTGAGCAGCCATATACCGGAGAAGCATCATCGTTCGAACAGGTTGAGCACAGGTAACAACAAATCCGGTCAACAGACTCACTACTCGAAACCGATTAATCCTTGTAAACCGATACCGAACCCAAAGCCCCCGTTAAAACCTCAACAACTGATTAACAAAGTGTCGGGTGGTGTGGGGAATGCGCTGCCTAAGCTAGATACCCCAACCTCCGAGAACTGCTTGTCCAAAAGTCAGACTACGTCGTGTATAAGCGACAAGACGAGACCGTCGTTGACTCGCCCGTTAACCTTGACCCTGAAAAAAACTGAAAAGTATAAGCTGTCGCTGAATAAACCGAATCAGTCGTTGCCGGAGTCGCCGGTTTGCGAGGAGCTGAAGCTCCTCAAGGAGCAGTGCAAGAAGAACGTGGTCAGTCGGTTCGCGAGATTCGCGCAAAAGCGAAGGTCCTGCAGCTACTTCATCGGGCTGAACGACAACGAGGAGGACATGGAGAACATAGCGAAGTCGTTCGAGAGCCTGCCGGCGATGAACGAGCGGAACATAGAGACCCTGAACGACGCGTTGGACGACGGGGACGACGGGAACGGGAACTTTAGCGACGATTCCTTGGAAGGGGATTTCAAGAATCCGCCGCGACGATGCGTCAGCGACTACCAGATCAACGTGCACGTCGACAGCCAGCAGGACGCTCACAGAGGCTACTCGAACTACCAGGCGTTCTCGAAGCGGATTCTGACCGGGTCGCAGGAGAGCATCCTCTCGGACGCGTCGGTCGAGTCCTTCTCGAAGGGAAGCGCCGAGATTCTGGATTACAGCCACTACGACAACGACAGACACTCGAGCGCGAGCTTCTTTCTGTCCCGGCGCAAGATGCAGGCCGGCCGGAGCCAGGAGAGCATCCTGACCGACGAGTCCGACTACCAAATGTTCCCGTTGCGCGAGAACATGGACCACCGCAGCACCGAGAGCGTGCTCACCGACGACTCGGACTCGCTCGTCAAGTCGGCGCCCCTCGAGATGCTCTTCGACTCCCACTATAAGCGAAAGCGACAGAACTCGGAGACGTACAGCGGCAATCCCAACAACGCCGTCGAGCCCTCCAGCTCCGTCCAGGACAACGCGAACGACGCGACCGCTTGCCGAGCGGTCTTCAGATCCAAGTCCCTCCAGGACACGAGGATAAGCAAGGCCGGCAACGAGAACAATTACACGGAGGACAACGCGCCGCAACCCGCGACCTGCATCTACTACGAGTTCAACTTCAACGAGAAGAACGACGCGAACGTCGAGATGAGAATGGCGACCACGAAATCGGACACCATGCCGAGGAGCAACAGCTTGAAGGTGCCGAAGGAGCCGCAGTCGATGCTGTTCCTGAACGACTTCGTGGCGCACAAGCCGCCGAAGCCGAAGAGGAACTCCGCTCGCACGCAGAGCATGCGGAACAGGGCTCGCCCAGCCTGGAACAAGTACAGCGTCGACTCGCCGACCACTCGTCCGAAGTCCGAGACCGAGGACTACGCTGGCAACTCGCAGAGAGCCGAGGGCCATCCGTCGAGATGCGACAACGACGCGAAATCGGACGCGGGCTCGGCGAACGCGTCCGAGAACGCGAAGAGGATCGAGCAGTTCTTGCAGTCGCCGGCCTACTCGATGCAATACGCCGACGAACCGGACCCGAAGACCAAGTTCTACAGCCTGCAGAACCGGCGCTCGGACAAGGGCATGGCGTACGAGGCCGGCGGCCCGATGGACAATTACGGGTTCGACGCGCGGGACGACCAGAGGGACTCGCGCGTCTGCTGCTTCGAGAATCAGATCCCGACGAAGGACACGCAGGAGACCTACGATTCGCTGGAACCGCCCGGCGGCGTGTCCTGCGACTCGCAGCCTACTGGAGCTGCCCAGAGTACCCAGAGTCCGAGGACGAACGAGCGACTCGACAACATGGACGTGGATCTGAGGATCAGCAGGGCGATCGAGGGCACCGTCAAGCTGCTGTCCAGAGAGTTCGAGAACCTGGTCAGGTCGGAACAGTACTTCATGAAAGAGAAACGCCTGATGATGTCGCATTGCCTCGAGGCCAGCGAGAACTATGCGAAACTGGAGGCCGAGCGGGACGGCAGGTTCGCGATCAGGCGCGACATCAGGCTGCACTCGGGCGGAGAAGAGAGCGACTGGGCGGACACGTCCGCGATCGATAGATCCGTGATGGAGAGCGGCTCCTCGACGTCCGCCTCCAGCTGCACCAACTCGCCGAAGAGAATGTGGCCGCCGGCCTCGCGGTGCCAGAGCCACATGAAATGGACGAAAACCTTGCCCACCATTAATCAGGCTATTATACCGACCAAGCATCTGTACACAGGTACCCGAATCGCGATCGAAACGCGGACGTTGTCGTTCCTCTTCGTTACAGCGATCGTCGCGGTTCCGCATAGTCGTTATAGTTGTTGTACTCGACGAGTACTGTAATTGCGAATACCTCGGTCGATTAAATCACGATTCGTAAACTGCGATTGGAGCAGCGCAATTACGGGCGCAATTACGGTTGCCCCGAATTATTTCGAATTGCGAAGCAGAACCGAATCCGTCATTGATAAATTCCATTACGCGTTACGAACGCGATTTAATCGAACGAACGAACGATATTTGCATTGCAAATCGGCCGATGTTGCGAATTAGTTTGCGCGCGGAGCAATTATAACTGTGCCCAACCGTGCGAGGATCCTGCAACGAAAGACAGTGTAACGCGTCTTCTCGCACGAGTCATCCTCGGACGGTCCAATTCGTTGGCTATTTAGTTTTACGCGGCCTTGAATTACCTCGAGCACCACTTCAGCGTTCACGGACTGTCCGAGCTTCGTGCGAGTACAGTAATGTCTCCCTTACTGACGCTCAGATCGTCCACTAAAGTGGACAATTTGGCAAGAGGAGATACGATTGTTCGAGCCTCGCGGCTCGTTTTTATAATTGTGGACAATTTATAACTATACAAATAAACCGTAAGGATCGAATAATCGTGTCTCCTCTTTCTAAATTGTCCATTTTTGTGCGCAATCTTAGCGTCAATTAGAGAGACATTATTACTGTATCGTGCAACGTCTACGTCGCTTTTCAAGCCGCACGATTCACGAGAGATATGGGAATGCGTACGATTGTCGGACAATTAGCGTTGTACATACGTTAGCGTTCTTTTCAAGACCTGTGGTACCATTATTTTTGATTTCAATACGGCAGCGATCATTGTACTTTTCAGTTTGAATGCTTTTCGGTTCAATTTTTCGTTTGGAATGTGGCGCGACCGGCGCAGCATGTTTTGTCCTCACGATGTAGTTCGATTCCCGCTTCCTCCCCGGACCACTTCATCTCGATCCCTCTTTATCGATCCATTTTCTAAACGATTTATTTATTCTAGAACATATTCTACACACATGTTCTCGCGTTTAACATATAATATACACTCGGTAATCGATTTCGATCGTCTGTCGGAGCTCGTCACGGAGTTAACTTCTATCCGACGTTAACTCGGTGAAATCGAATACGCGAAGAGCTCTCCGTTGTTCCGCGCACTTTGCTTCCGCATTAGCACGAAAGCTAAACGAAGCCCGGCTTCGTTTTTTGCGCTATCAAAATCGGCGAACCGAAGCTCGCGGCTCTCGCGCTAATAACATTTGTCTCTGATATTTTTTTGTTCATACATTTCAAGATAGCTTTAGCCCGTTTCTCGTGTAACTTTGAACGAGGTAAGTTTCGCAGATAGAACAGAAAACAGTAGCGTATCATGTAAAAAAAAAAAAGAAAAAGGAACATCATGTAAAAAAGACACACACTTGACTCGATATACGAGAAAGAACCTTAGCTTAGTGCATGTGTGTGCGTGTTGTTGTCGACAGTTGGCAGTAGTGGGGGGCGAATCTCGTCAAAAATTTTTGACAGCGAAGAAGAGGGGGGTGGCATGCGACGTGCCTGCTCGCTGAGTGATCTTTCCGTCAGCCCGCCAAATAGATTACTGCATGGCCCGATACAAGGTACCCTTTCTTTGTGTACCACGATTTTCAGGGTCTTTCCAATGCCGATCGATCAACGTTCGATGAACGGTTAACGCTCGAACTATCGTCCGTCGATTTTACAGCGCGATACAAAAGAGCCGACAGCTCGGGCCTCGGACAAAGTCGTATGTACGGTAATGTCTCTCTAACTGACGCTCAGATTGTACACGAAAGTGGACAATTTGGGAGGAGGGAATACGATTATTCGAGCCTTTTGTTTTGCTCGTTTTTATAGTTGTCGACAATTCGTAACTATAAAAATGAACCGCGAGGCTCGAACAATCGTATCTCCTGTTCGCAAATTATCCACTTTCGTGGGCAACCCGAGCGTCAATTACAGAGACATTACTGTATATGCGGGTCTATAAAAAACGAAACCGGAGTAAAATTTCTCTGCGACCTTTTTACCTGTTAACGGCGAAGAGAAACTGATGTAGGCCGCTCTCTTTACCATAGCGCCGCGCAAATGTTTTCAGAGCATTTCGAACGTACGAACAATGTTAATTATTCCCGCCCTAAACACGGACACGTTTACGGAAGCGCTTGTAATCGCAACGCGGATAATTCCAGCGTTGAAACAGCGCGTTTTCTATAAATAAATAAATTGGAACGACCCTGGATTAGCGTAAGCACCGTATTACATGTTCAATGTTGTCCGATTATTTTTTGATTTTCTCGAATTCTATATGTTGCAAGCAACGGTTTTCGTTATATTTCTTTGTGCACCGAACGACGCGTTCGAAGTCTTCTTTTTTTTTTCTTTCTTTAAGATTAATTTCGCAATTAGTCGTACACTTTTATCTCGAACCGATCTCCGGCGACTGGACCTCTCGCTAATGATCGTTAATAGTTTCAGGAAAAGTAGGTAATAAGAACTCGAACGGTTCTGCGCGAAGTGGACTGGGAAACGCGAATAGCGGAAACCAGTCTCGGCACGGATCGGCGAAGAATCATTCTTCCCACATTACCAGAAGCAGCAGCGTCGGCGTTTTGAATCAGGTACACCTTTGATCTTCCCGCGAGAGGAACCGTCGTCGTCGTCGTCGCGTCTACTGCGAGGATTCACTAAAATCGTTCGTTCGTGATTTTTCCAGAGCGACTCGGAATCGGACGTCGGCGCCGGCAACGGAAGAGGATGGAACAACCAGACGACGAATAGCAGGATCAGTGGATTGATGAGACCGACGATCAGCTCGCAGAACAAGATCAACCATCAGATAAAGACCAGCTCCTCTTCCAGCAGCAATCTGCCTTCGGTCCTGAGGAGGAGAGGCATGCAGGGAGCGTATTCGAGTGGTAATTCCGCGAATAATTACTTGTCCGTCGCTGACCAAGTTCCGAACAGTCTCCTCGATCGATTGAAACCTTGTGTTCCAGTGAATCTAAGTCAAGTGGGCAATCAAGAGGACTCGAGTTCCGAGGACACGTCCTCGAACGGGAACGGAGGCAAGCCGGCGCTGCCGCCCAGACCTCGCAGCATCAGCATCGACCATTCTGCCACGAAGTAAGAGTCGCGATAAGCTCGATCGTCGTCTACCTACCTGCTCGAAAGAATCTACATAAGCGAACGCGTCACGCTTTTCAGTTTAAATCTGCCCGGCGCGACGGTGAGGAGATCAGGGTCCACGACCGTGATCGCGAACGGCCGCAACGGAAACAGCTCGATAGGGCAGGGCGCCGGCCGATTGTCGACCGCCAACCGGAGTCAGCTAGACCCCAGCCCGCAGGAGCTACCAGTCAAAGATACTGATCGTGCCATCGATGTAGCCAGTGCCGAATGTAACTATCGTCCGTACACACCCTGCGTTCTATCGTTCGTTTCCGTTGTCACGATTCACGATCATCAAAGTGTAAGCATGCAAGATTGCGACCGCGTGTCCGGTTTCCAAACTGTGTAACGTCACCCTGGTTCCGCACAGGGTGAAATTGAACGGAGCAACCGATTAACTTTATTTTCTTTGTTGTTCCGAACGATCTACGTTTGCGAGCAACGGTGATCTAATGAAAGTTTTACTCTTGCAGTAGGCACGGATAAATCATTAGGTAAACTAAAGACGCCTATTGAGAATGCTGTCCTGTGAAAATAATAAGTCTTTGAGTGTATGAGAAAATTTGTAAGTGATCATGCTATGACCAAACGAAAGCAACCATACGAACCGAACCGACTAGTACAGACTAGCGTCTGGTCTGTAGGTCGCTGTACATAAAAAAAAAACCGCAGACTTTCCGCGAGAATAGTGTCATCGAACGTTTCCCCGCTTTCCACGTTCTCATCTCGGAATGGAGTGGTGTTCATCTAGCAAAACTTTTCCGTCGCTTGTCCGGGCTCATTTGTAAATATTTTGTATATACATATATCTATCTATCTATATGCGGTGAAAGAATTCGACAAAGCCTAGAGACGCTCGCAAAAACTTAGATCATCGCATAGACCTCGCGAATAGTCGCCTCATCGTTAGGTCGCTACCCGAGTCTCTAGGCCTCACGATCGCAATAGCATGGTCTCGTTACGGATTTTAGAGTCGATGTAACCTGCACGCTGCACGATCTTCATCCATTGATCCCCCGATCCGTCTTGGACCGGATGCCACGTTCCCCGGACCGTGCCAGCATCCGTTTAGAGCGTAGTTTCCCCACCGTTCTTCTCGAAGGTTTTCTAAGAAAGCGACGCTGGCTCGCTCCGCGTTGGGAAACTACGCGTTTAGAGGCTGCAACGCGTCGTCGAAAGCGGCTTCTTCCGATGGAAGAAGCCTCTGCCGATCGACCATGCGTTCTAGCGTGGAACAAGCTTTTGTCTCAGAATTAAGGAACTCTTTATTTTCGTCGCAGTGTCGACGCAGCTGTGCAACACGATCGCGGACGACCTGACGCGCACGGCGGACAACGTGGTGCAGCTGTACAAGCGTCTAACGATAGACAAGGAGGACGAAGGAGCCAGCATCGACAGGGACACGATGCTGCGAGGTCTCCAGTCTTCCGTGAACGAGACGATGCGAACGTTGCGGCTGGTGGTCGCCGGTGGACAGGCGAGCATCGACGGGTCGTCGTCGACGGGCAGCGAGAGCGTGGCCGTGAACGAGGCGACCGCCACGTTCCAAGAGCTGCTCGCTGGTCAGGACCAGGGTAAAGTAGTCAACATGATGCAGCAGTACTCCGAGCTGCTGCTGACCATGATGCAGCAGAGGATGGGGGGACCGCAGTCGAGCCACACGTAAAATCCGTCCATCTGCGCGTTCTCCGAGGGTGAAGGACGTCCAGCCGTTGACACGCCTGCGTCTCTTAACTACTCGCGTTTACTCCCAGAGGATCCTCAGCTCTCCCCTCGTCCACCTTCCTCTCTCTCGGTTTTCCTACCAGACGTCTGACGCGATTCGCGATCACGCAGGATGAAAGGATGCAGGATGATTGTCGTCGAGGAACGTTAACAAATTGCGGGAAACACAGGGTCGAAGAGTCGCGGTAGTCGATCCGCGTTCGGTTTCACTCTTGGACGACGGTGACCGATTCCGCTAGGGTCTCTTCTTCTTCTAGGGTCTGATTCCAGGCTCTTCGAACTGGATCGTAACACTGGTCTTCTAGAATCTTTTTTTAAAGAACCCTTACCGGAAGAAATAGTTACAAATTATCAGAATTTTTTTAGCTACGCGCAACCGAAAATATTAAGCAAAAATGAACTATAGTTTCCAAAAGAAGGAAACGTTGCTCGAGAGTAAACCGAACGCTAGAGTACGGATGTCGGAGCGTGTATGTCAAGGTTATATTTCGCCGAAAAGCTTTCGGGTCTCGGATCCTTGCGCGGAGATTCAGATTGGAAAGACGAGCTCCTAATTATTGTAGAACCGAACTGAGATCGGTAGTCGCGAATGTTTGTGTGTACGTGTACCGGAACGGTGTCTGTAGCCAAAGTTAGCGAGTATATTATCAGCAGTTTCGTGCAGAGAGGACAGACGAGCAGGGCAGGCTAGTTCGCAGCGATCCGACAGTTGTCTCCAGAGACGCGACGAACCGGAAGATCGGCTGCGTGAAACTCACTCGTATCTTGAGGCCATACGCCGTGAAATGCCAATTAACTAAAGACTCTTAGACTAGTTTTCAAACCGAGTATATATTATTATACGTATATATATTATATATGTATTATAATACATTATATACATACATATATACATATATATATTTATCGACTACTGCGCGATATTATATCATAATATTAGTCTTCTTGTTGTGTAACCAAAGGCTGTCTGTACCTACGGTCTAAAAGGAGCCTTCCTTCCTTCCCCCGACGTTATAACAAACAAAAACCAAGAAAAAAAATGAAACACGTCGACGCGACGAAACTGTAATTAAAAAGCGAGAGTAGCACGCGATGTAAACTTGCCAGTACGAAAGAGATAGAATTCCTAACCGTTTAGAGAAAAAAGATAAAGAAGAAATCGAAAGAAAGGCTTCGTAGAATATACGCGGTGCGTTTGTGTCGCGTGTAGGGTTCAAACGTGTGTGATTTTATATTTACAATTCGATGTGCGGAACGAGTATTGTCTCTTGCTAATTTTACTTCGCGGAAACAAGTGGTGTATCGTGGTAGGACTACTATAGAATTCCTGACCGTTGAGCTATAAATGCCGACGAACAATAGGTGGCCGGGGAATTCAGTTTACTTGGACGGATTGATTATTCGAAGTCGAAATCGACGCTCGACTCTCTCTCTCTCCCTCTCTCTCTTTCTCTCTCTCTCTCTTTCTCTCATAGAAGCTGTGCTACATAGCGATCGCATATTTTGTCATAGGGATTACAAATATTTTTACACCGTGATTAACGTTGATAGACACGAAGGACAAAGGGAAAACGCGCGAAACGAAGGAAAGTTCCATAGCGTCGTCGTATTCACTTTCGTTGAATCGTTGCGCCGGGTTCGAAGGGGCGACGCCGAGCACTTCGAAGGAAGGAATCGCATCGAGGAATCAAAGTATTACGAACACGTATTATTATTAACGGATTTTAATGCGAATTCTCCTCCTCCCCAAAGTTACTTTCCAGATATATCCCCTTCTCCGTAGAGTTACTTCGGATTGTATGTAATGTATAAAACGTGCCATCTAGGTTTACAACGATCGTTATTCCCGCGTACTCCGTCCGCGAGAGACGTGTTCATCGCTTCTTTTCTTTAGCGTATCGTTCATCCTCATCGATAAACCTTGTAACATATCCTCGGTACAACGTATTGTGACGTTTGCTCGGACTTCTCTAACGTTAAGCAGGCGTCTCTGATATATTTTTTTTTTGTTTTTTCAAAGAGAAAGCAAATTTTCAAATTTGCAGACATCTTCAGCCTGAACACAATAATTATTTTATAATTCTATCTTGCACGAAATTATTCTGTGAACTGTTTTAAGTAGTATACGATTTTGAATATTCTTTTAACTTGTATGATTTCCAATTTAGAAAAATCTATCAAAAATGCGTGCTTAGATGTCCAGATACGCGCTGAACAATGTAATTAATCCTTAGGTGGACTACTGGGGTTGCTACTACCTTATTTAAAATACTGACAATTATTTAATCTTGTTCCTTATGCTGTATAACAAAAATAATTTCGATGTACAAATTCGGTGACAATTAATGTTAAATATATCTTTGAACTTCATTTCGAAAGTCCACTTAAGCGTTAATAGATAATGAAACGACTTGGACCGATATTGCTTCGTAAGAATCGTTGCTATTTTCCATTTAACGGTTCCGTCGAGAGCAGTCCGTGATTGTTCGACTTTCTTTTTTCTGATCGTCCGATTGTCTCTAATGAGACAGATTATTTTCGAACGACGAATATGGATCGACACCTTCGCCGTGGTCTGTTTGAGTTTTCCTATGTTAAAACGAGCGTGGTCACGATGTCGCTTAATAGAGATTAATTTGCTTATAATCAAAATTATCGGTTATCGTAGCCGACGTCAACGACATGTATACACGCAAATAGAAGAACACGGCGTCGCAGCTGATACCGATAGCTAATCCTTATCGTTTAGACAACTAACTCGCGAAATCGAGGCAGACTCTTGGTTTCGACCACGAAGGTGTTGATCATTTACTTTAGGAACTAAAATATTTTCTATTCGATGTCCGCATTTTTGTAACGTATCATCATCGTTATCACTTATCACCATCCTCATCGTCCGCGTGTGAATCGTGCAAGCGACCACGAACGCGGAACGCGAAGAGAAATGTCGAATCTCGTCTCATGCATCACCTTGTATTTGCCCAAGCTTCGCGTGGTAATGAACCATTCCAAATTTCCAGCGTCTCTGTCTCTCTCTCTCTCTCTCTCTCTCTCTCTCTCTCTCTCTCTCCCTCTCTCTCCTCTCTCTCTCTTTCTTTCTATCTCTGTCTCTGTCTCTCAGTGTAATAATCATCAAAGACATTAATACGATACTTTTAACCGGTCGCAAAGATTATTAGTGGCTTTGTATATTGTTGTACTCTTGTTATATTAAGACGTATTGTTATGTAATGTGTTACGCGTTTACTTAATTATGTACATATTTATTTCGAGTTTCGTAAGGAGCAAGACAGTTTTGGTAATCGTGAGAAACGTTAAATGTAATAATTTCATCGTAAGAGAAATGTAACTTTTTATCACTTTGTTTTGTATATTATGTTAACGATTAATAATATAATAATTCTTATAAACTAAAATTTTCGAAATTTTTCCGAATATTTTCGGACATGGAAATACTATCTATCAGTGGCGCTCGAACTAAAACACCCCTATAAAGGTCATTCATTTTGTGACTCCGGAGACACAATGTGTGCGCTTTTACCATTGAAAACTGTAGAAGAGACCTCTAGCAACGCATCGATAACAATTTTATGCGCACACGAATTGTAATTAATTAGTGATAAGCAATTTTCAGTTTTATATTCAATCGCTCGATATCGCAGCAAATGATTCGTGCCGCTTCTCTCGTAAGAAGCAATGGAACATTCGGCACGAATTTTCTGCTGCTTTCAAACAGCCTAACAGCGCCAATTTCGTGCAGCGGCAAAACGCTCAAACTGTTCGACAAGCAACAGTTCCCTGCAATTCACCGCGTGGTAACACTGCGTGCGCGCGACATCTGTCGGTGAGTGTCCCAAGTTTGCGGCGGAAACTTAAATCAATACTCGCCGACAGATGTGGCGCGCATCAGTGTTACCGCGCGGCGAATTGCAGGGAACTGTTGCTTGACGAACAGTTTGAGCGTTTTGCCGCTGCACGAAATTGGCGCTGTTAGGCTGTTTGAAAGCAGCAGAAAATTCGTGCCGAATGTTCCATTGCTTCTTACGAGAGAAGCGGCACGAATCATTTGCTGCGATATCGAGCGATTGAATATAAAACTGAAAATTGCTTATCACTAATTAATTACAATTCGTGTGCGCATAAAATTGTTATCGATGCGTTGCTAGAGGTCTCTTCTACAGTTTTCAATGGTAAAAGCGCACACATTGTGTCTCCGGAGTCACAAAATGAATGACCTTTATAGGGGTGTTTTAGTTCGAGCGCCACTGANTTAATTCGGGCTCGTTTTGTTTAGCCTGCCGAATCCTTTTCAGTTCCTTTTTAATAGCTACAGCACCTGACAATTTGATCGAACAAATCATTGGTATCGTTGATAACACCGTGTAGACTATGGTGCATACGCATCGTTACACTTACAGAGCATAGTCTGCCACAGTTCTGCCCTCTTCGATCTATGAACAGTTTTTCTCAAAGATTCTCGATGCCTCTTTTGGATTCCTGCGAGTTCGATCGCTTCTCGCGTCGGAGGCGGAAATAAACAAATTTCGAGCCAATGTACAGCTCTTGCGCATCCGATCAGTCGGAACCATACCTAGAATTTCACATATTTATTGAAAACAAAGTTATTTTTTTCATGAAAACGTACATCATCGTTTTATTATTTTTATTATTATTATATTATATTATTTTATTATATTATTTATTTTCATTATATTACCGAATCTATACATTCTACCGTGAACCACATCCATAAACCAAGTTCCACTCGCGTATACTTGGTCCTCTCTGGCCACAGCATTAGTTTTGGTACAAATAGTACGTACAAGTATATCCTGAGAAATCGTATTCGTTGAATGAATAGGGTCGAAGAGGGATTTAAAAAAATACATTAATAAATCCTTTTCTTATACCAACCAGCCGAGACAGTGAACGAAGAAGAACAATTTAGGTAGCTTCTTTCCACCGGGTTGAGGCAGACATAATAAAATTCTACACACGTTTACGATAATGCTATCGACTGCCTTATAAAACAGGAAAGTGCTCACGATCGTACACCACCTGTAAAATAGATTTTCTTACAAATTTCATTGCAGACAATTAATTTGTGACGTTATAGCGTTTCAATATATTCAGAAATATATACTATAAGCGATCGAGCAAAGCATTAAGAAATATACGACCGAATAAGATAATAGATTTCTGTTAAATACGAAGGTATTTTACTTTTCCTCGTAAGGATTCATGACGAACGAGGCAAACAGCAGATTTGTCCAGCCTTTGATCCAAGCTCCGTTACAGAAAATCTCGATTCCTGCTCGATGAAAGTAAAAGCTTCTGTGTAGAATCACCCCTAATTCTTCGTGTGTTACTTTCCGCTCGTCGGAGAAGATATTTAGAGTTGTGATCGTGGATGATTTTAGATAACACACGCTACCAAAGCAAAATCCACAATTCCACACAGCCTCGATTACTCTACTCCGTTGCATCAATGGTATGCGCATACGGCGTAGTAGTGACTATGTTAATAAATGAAATGAAAAGTATCAAATGTAAGCTTGTTACCCTCTATTCGCGTGCTTTGAAATTATCCCAAAATAAACACACATTCGATAAATACGGTAATGAACACGATAGGGGCAAAGAGCCTGCATATTGACACCATGGAACTTACGTTAAGGCACTTTTCATACATGAGGTACAGGATCACCCACAAAAGAATCAAGTAACCGAGGAGCACGTCGGCTTTTTTCACTTTCGTGTCGGTCATTTGTTGCATACCGAAAGCCTTTTTGTCCCAGAGATTTGGAACCATCGGCTTAAATACGCTGACATCGAAAAGCGAATGCAGCCCGACGGCCCAAATGTTTGCAACCTCTTCCAACATTTTCAACCCCTTTAATGTCTGTTTTCGTTCTGGTCAGGTCTGCTTGTAGGGTGCTGCCGCCTGCGCTCGCCGCCAGATGGATTACTTACCTCGTCAGGGATGCCAAATGTGGAGGTTATCTCCGGTGTTCGCGGCCAGATGGACTCTTCTTTCCTGCAAGCAGCCTAACATCGATTTGTACATACTTACTGGCCTTCGTCCATCCTACCGACGTAACCGTGTCTACGGCAGGGCCCGCTAGAAAGAGTCTTACCAACGAGTCCTGTGGCGAGATCAGGACACTGTAATTTGTAAAAATAAAAATACTATAGAATTCGATTCAACCATCTTCTCATTTATAGATTTTCCAAAACCATTTATCTTTATCCCTATCCCTATAGTCAGTGGCGCTCGAACTAAAACACCCCTACAAAGGTCATTCATTTTGTGACTCCGGAGACACAATGTGTACGCTTTTACAATTGAAAACTCTAGAAGAGACTTCCAGCAACGCATCGATAACAATTTTATGCGCACACGAATTGCAATTAATTAGTGATAAGCAATTTTCAGTTTTATGTTCAATCGTTCGATATCGCAGCAAATGATTCGTGCCGCTTCTCTCGTAAGAAGCAATGGAACATTCGGCACGAATTTTCTGCTGCTTTCAAACAGCCTAACAGCGCCAATTTCGTGCAGCGGCAAAACGCTCAAACTGTTCGTCAAGCAACAGTTCCCTGCAATTCGCCGCGCGGTAACACTGATGCGCGCGACATCTGTCGGCGAGTATTGATTTAAGTTTCCGCCGCAAACTTGGGACACTCACCGACAGATGTCGCGCGCACACAGTGTTACCGCGCGGCGAATTGCAGGGAACTGTTGCTTGGCGAACAGTTTGAGCGTTTTGCCGCTGCACGAAATTGGCGCTGTTAGGCTGTTTGAAAGCAGCAGAAAATTCGTGCCGAATGTTCCATTGCTTCTTACGAGAGAAGCGGCACGAATCATTTGCTGCGATATCGAACGATTGAACATAAAACTGAAAATTGCTTATCACTAATTAATTGCAATTCGTGTGCGCATAAAATTGTTATCGATGCGTTGCTGGAAGTCTCTTCTAGAGTTTTCAATTGTAAAAGCGTACACATTGTGTCTCCGGAGTCACAAAATGAATGACCTTTGTAGGGGTGTTTTAGTTCGAGCGCCACTGACTATAGGGATAGGGATAAAGATAAATGGTTTTGGAAAATCTATAAATGAGAAGATGGTTGAATCGAATTCTATAGTATTTTTATTTTTACAAATTACAGTGTCCTGATCTCGCCACAGGACTCGTTGGTAAGACTCTTTCTAGCGGGCCCTGCCGTAGACACGGTTACGTCGGTAGGATGGACGAAGGCCAGTAAGTATGTACAAATCGATGTTAGGCTGCTTGCAGGAAAGAAGAGTCCATCTGGCCGCGAACACCGGAGATAACCTCCACATTTGGCATCCCTGACGAGGTAAGTAATCCATCTGGCGGCGAGCGCAGGCGGCAGCACCCTACAAGCAGACCTGACCAGAACGAAAACAGACATTAAAGGGGTTGAAAATGTTGGAAGAGGTTGCAAACATTTGGGCCGTCGGGCTGCATTCGCTTTTCGATGTCAGCGTATTTAAGCCGATGGTTCCAAATCTCTGGGACAAAAAGGCTTTCGGTATGCAACAAATGACCGACACGAAAGTGAAAAAAGCCGACGTGCTCCTCGGTTACTTGATTCTTTTGTGGGTGATCCTGTACCTCATGTATGAAAAGTGCCTTAACGTAAGTTCCATGGTGTCAATATGCAGGCTCTTTGCCCCTATCGTGTTCATTACCGTATTTATCGAATGTGTGTTTATTTTGGGATAATTTCAAAGCACGCGAATAGAGGGTAACAAGCTTACATTTGATACTTTTCATTTCATTTATTAACATAGTCACTACTACGCCGTATGCGCATACCATTGATGCAACGGAGTAGAGTAATCGAGGCTGTGTGGAATTGTGGATTTTGCTTTGGTAGCGTGTGTTATCTAAAATCATCCACGATCACAACTCTAAATATCTTCTCCGACGAGCGGAAAGTAACACACGAAGAATTAGGGGTGATTCTACACAGAAGCTTTTACTTTCATCGAGCAGGAATCGAGATTTTCTGTAACGGAGCTTGGATCAAAGGCTGGACAAATCTGCTGTTTGCCTCGTTCGTCATGAATCCTTACGAGGAAAAGTAAAATACCTTCGTATTTAACAGAAATCTATTATCTTATTCGGTCGTATATTTCTTAATGCTTTGCTCGATCGCTTATAGTATATATTTCTGAATATATTGAAACGCTATAACGTCACAAATTAATTGTCTGCAATGAAATTTGTAAGAAAATCTATTTTACAGGTGGTGTACGATCGTGAGCACTTTCCTGTTTTATAAGGCAGTCGATAGCATTATCGTAAACGTGTGTAGAATTTTATTATGTCTGCCTCAACCCGGTGGAAAGAAGCTACCTAAATTGTTCTTCTTCGTTCACTGTCTCGGCTGGTTGGTATAAGAAAAGGATTTATTAATGTATTTTTTTAAATCCCTCTTCGACCCTATTCATTCAACGAATACGATTTCTCAGGATATACTTGTACGTACTATTTGTACCAAAACTAATGCTGTGGCCAGAGAGGACCAAGTATACGCGAGTGGAACTTGGTTTATGGATGTGGTTCACGGTAGAATGTATAGATTCGGTAATATAATGAAAATAAATAATATAATAAAATAATATAATATAATAATAATAAAAATAATAAAACGATGATGTACGTTTTCATGAAAAAAATAACTTTGTTTTCAATAAATATGTGAAATTCTAGGTATGGTTCCGACTGATCGGATGCGCAAGAGCTGTACATTGGCTCGAAATTTGTTTATTTCCGCCTCCGACGCGAGAAGCGATCGAACTCGCAGGAATCCAAAAGAGGCATCGAGAATCTTTGAGAAAAACTGTTCATAGATCGAAGAGGGCAGAACTGTGGCAGACTATGCTCTGTAAGTGTAACGATGCGTATGCACCATAGTCTACACGGTGTTATCAACGATACCAATGATTTGTTCGATCAAATTGTCAGGTGCTGTAGCTATTAAAAAGGAACTGAAAAGGATTCGGCAGGCTAAACAAAACGAGCCCGAATTAACGATCGATTCCGATGAAACGAAAGCACCTGAAATAGAATCGACGGATGAGATCGGTAACGTACAAAATGATTAATACGATCAGTATTACGAAATTCCAGTTTCTCAGACATGGGAGAAGAAAGACAAAATAATCTAATAATTTATTTACGTACAATACCTGCAACATACTCGAACTACCGTTGATCGAATTCAGAGATTTTCTTTTGAATTTAAATAACTCCACGATATTTTACAGCCAGGTACTTAATGATATCGTATCGCTTGTCGAGTTAGATTTAAAAAATCAGGCGAAAAATATTAAAATATTTAAAAAATATTATACGGACACGTGCTTAAAATCGTACCGGTCTTTTAATATATATATATATATAAAAAAAACAGTATTTAAGAATTTAATATATCTACGCCCGTTTAGAGAAAAAAAAAAGAATTGAACAATTCGTACGCTTGTAAGATAAATAGCACGTGTATGCTATAGTAACGTTAGCGCGTGCTCATATCAAAGTGATTAATGAAAGAATTAATTTCGCAGTTTTGTCGCCGCATTTGGTCATTTAACTCGAAACGTCTAATGACCTATTTTATCGTCTATATGAATTTATTGGTCGAACTGTTGCTCGAAAGGCGACCATACGTTTTGTGATAATACATATAACTTGCATGCGTGTAGTGTGCGTGTAGTTACATATCGATGCTGCCTTGATGTCAACGTGCAATAACTATCCGACTCGCAACGGCAAATAATAATGTCTTAATAGCAAGAATTGCTCGTTTCGACTTCGAGTCGAAATTAATACTCGGTACCTGCGTGCTGTTACACATTGGAAGCTATTTCAATCGGCACGTTATGACTCTGAGATTTTATAATTGTTAAATAATACGTCTGCTAATTACGAGCACGGTAACAGCTGAATTGAAACTACTTAACGTTTTACAATATATATATATATAGGCTAAGCTTTAAACGCGATGCAAACTTTTCTGCATGCTCGTCGTATCGTTGATCCTGCGATAACAGATAATCATCGGAATAAAAAAGGATATTGTTTATTGTACGATAAGTGCGGGATAGGGAGTTTCGGACTGGTTAATATTATTAATTTAATTAATATTATTATTATATTATATATAATATTATATATATATATATATGTAATATAATATAATATATATATATAATATATATAATATTATTATAATAAGAAGCGAACGGTAGTGGCTTCTCAGCGAGAACGGTGGGCGCAACGTTCGTATCCTGCGAGAACATCTGTGTACAGAAAAACGAAAAAGAGAACAAGTACACGATTCAAGTGACACGCAAGTGTTCCTAGATATATAAAGTTTTATTTCCGATCATTCTGGACTGTGTCAATAAAATATAGTACATGTATTTAGGCTGAATTGTTCCACGATGTTATACAGTTTAATGAAAAATATTATAAACGAACGTTGTTCGAATAAAATTGTATTCAATACGCCGACAGCGTACACGCCTCGATAATATATCGCCGTATTTCTAAAAATTGTTAAAATATCAGTTTAGAAACTTATACGTACGTAACACGTTGCATTATACAAATGTATAACGCGGTTTCCCGATCAGACACAACAATTAATGTTAAAATTACTGAAGCGATCTTAACCATTATACGACAATGTCTGAACGCAGAGAGATTCCTTTATCGCGAATCTTTACGGCTGTTACAATCGCATCCTGTTTTTTTTTCTTTTTTGTTCTCCGTGAGACAATATCGACGAGTTATTCGAAGACGAGCGTCCCGTGAAAAATTCGATCGTGTTTCCCTCGTTCTGTGATCGAAGAAACACGAACCACCTATATATAATGTCTCCGACTTTGTATGCCTCTACGATGCTCTGTAAATACGTCGATGCTCGCTCTCTCTCTCTCTCTCTCTCTCTCTCTCCGAAACGTTCGAAATACCGAAATTGTTCTTTGTACTGTTTAAAATACGAAAGTCCAACGAAACGGATAGATAAACAACGTCGGACGCCCGTCTCGAAATAACTCGCGCAAAACGGTGCGCGTTTTAAGAATCTGTAACATTCGAGAAGCTGAACGGGTAATGTCGAGACAAAGAGTGGACTTATAATAATACTTAAACGATTATTAAACGTTGACGTCTAGAAATCATTCTCGTCGCAGTCCCGAGAAAGTTAGTCCGTCGAAACTAGTACATTGTTTCGTATGGTTTCTCGATCGTGTTAACAAAATCGTGTGTAAAAAGTAGTGATGGTACAGAATCGGATCGATGATAAAAGTTTCTCGTTTAATCATAATGTTCGATCGATTGTGCGCTACACAGAACCCGGTTATTCGCTGCGATGATTACAAACTACGTTGTTTTATTTTATTTGTTTTTTTTTGTTTCTTAATACAGCAAACGCTTCTTTCCCTGAAATGCGTTGTGAATCTGAGTGCTGAATAAGGCCATTTCATGTGAATGACGACCGTTAAAAGTTCAACACCATTTACAAAATCCCACCCTCTATTGTACCATTCGCTCTTCTCTCCTCGCTCTCTCTCTCTCTCTCGCTCTCTCTCTCTCGCTCTCTCTTTCACGCACGCTTTTTCTCTCTTTCGCTCGCTCGCTCGCATACAGGCACACGCACTCGCTTTCTGTCTCTCCTGTGAACGATAGACAATTGTCCGATTTACGTTAGGTTTTTATAATCGAGCTTACAGACACCGCTCGCAAAATATCTCGCTGCCATATTGTTTCATCGTGTGTGTGTGTGTGTGTAACGGTTATTTATTAATATTTAATATATGTGTATCGTTTAAATTGTTTTCACTTACGTTGACAAACTATCACTGCGTTTACCTCTCCGTAAATAACGTGTAATCCGGGCTTTTTCTTTCCTTTAATTCCTCCGCTCGTTCAGATTTCCCTCGCGTCGATCTGTTTTCTTTTCTTTTCTCACGGATTCGCGCGGATCGGTTTCACGCTCGCACAAACGACAATCGAGAAATCGTAACGAAAGAAGGAACGAAAACGAAAAGAAAATCTGCACGAAATTCGTATCGGCGCAACGATCGCACGACAAGCCTCTGTGTTTTTCGTTTCCTTCGTCGTCTTCTTCGTCTTCTTCTTTTTTCCTTCTTCTTTTTCTACGGTTCATTCGTGTTCGAGCTTGTGTCTATCGTCGGCTCTCGCGAAAATATTGAAAATTCTTTGTTTTTTGAAAAAATCTCTCGCAGACGGGTTTCTTCGGGGATTAGTATTCGGGGGGAGGGAGGGATGTTTATCGAGCATATTCTCAATTCGCGGTGGCCAAAGCATCGGGTCGCGTTCGTTCGCAGAATTTTCAATAGTTTCGCGCACGGAGCTTTCCATAACGGTTCAGCATTCTCTCGTTCCAAGTAAAACCTCTTTATTACAAACGTTAATAACATTAAGGCTCTAATAACGTACGGCATGGAGCGATTCGTCGACTAGACGCATCCGCGCGGGCCTAGTGTACAAAATTGAAAACAATCTCTATACTTCTTCGTGGACACTTGTGGCTTCGCTGAATTCGCTGAAACGATTTCGTGGCGCTTGTACGTGTACAAAGTGTCTGTATTTCTTTCTTTCTCTGTATATGCGTGTGTTGTGTTTTTTTCTGTGTGTGTGTACGCGTGTCCAAGGCTGCGATCGATCGATCGATCAATGTATCGATCCGAAGGATGGATCGAAAGGCTCTACGATCGTCGAATCAAGGAACGCCGTCGAAGAAGAAACCTCCCCCCAAAATGACGGGACGTTGTTTGTCGCTGTTTTTTTAAGAGACGTATCTCGTGGCTACTCACATATACTTAACTAGCGGTTTACCGATCAGACTCTACATCGTTTTTCGTTATCTCTTATGTTTTTTTTGTCTTTTTTTCCTTTTCGGTTCTTTTTCTGCTTTTTATCTTCGTCGTTTCTCTGCTCTAATTTCTTTGGCGAGGGCAGCAGCGAATCGAGTAAACGCATGATTGATCTGCCCGTCGGAAAAGTAAATCGTAATTTCGTATCTCGAGGAAGACGATAAATTATTCGAATGCGATCTCTTGTACAATAAACGATTACGGCTCGTACACTCTCGTCTCTTTCTCTCTTTCTCTCGTTCTCTCACTCTCACTCGCTCGCTCTTTCTCTCGCGCAATCTCTCTCTCTCTCTCTCTCTCTCTCTCTCTCTCGCTCTCATAATTCTCTGCTTTTCGTCGTGCACGCGCTGTATGTAAAGTTTCTAATGAACGTCCACGGTGGTGCTGGAACGAATTACGATTACGAAAGTTACCTTATTACAAACATATACGTATATATGAGCAATAAAAGTTGAGTCGGTTAAACTTTCTTAGGCCCACAACCGTGTTCCATTCCAGTTTTTGTTCGCAATGTTTCGTCTGTCCCACACGCCCTTCTCAGCGTTTTTTTTTTGTCCCCAGCGTCGAAAGAGAGCTGGCTGCGCGGACATTTAGAATTTGTTACCCCCGGCGAGACAAACGCGCGACCTACCTCCGCCCCGCCCCTGTCCCCCAACCCCCTTTTTTTGTTTCTTTTATTTTGTGAAAATATGGCCCCATTGTTACAGGCTCTCGATGTAAATTTCGGAAACGGTGATCCTCGGTCTGTCTCTGTTCCTGAGTCTGCAACAGGCTTCCGTTCAATCTCGTGCCATCCGCATCGCGTCCGTCTTTTTCTTCTTGAAATCATTTCGACCCGGCAACGGTTTCTCCAACGGTCGATAATTATTCGATCGGTCGATATTTATGGTACGACCGATTTCTATCGGCGACCCGTTGCAAACAATTCCCCCGCAAAAGCATCTTCCCGACGATCGGCCGATCGCGGAAACGAAAAGAGAAGTATCGAGCCGGTCGTTTCTTCTGCGAACGTGCGATGCGACTGGCATAAAATTGAACCCTCTCTCTCTCTCTCTCTCTCTCTCTTTAAATCGCTCTCCGTATTAATTCTACACCACGTCGTACACGAGCATCGGTCACCCACTTTTCCTCTTAGAATTTTAATACCTTGTTTTGAAACTTTATAATCTCTCTTTTTATCCGCGATACTAACAATAAAATCGTGGAGCTGGACCGCGTCCAATGCTTCCGGTTGGAACACGTTTCTTATTCTGCGAGCGTGTTGCGGCGGGTTTACGATTCTTTCGGAAGAAACACGTTGTCGAACCGCGTAGAACGCGACGCCGAGAATCGTCGCGGTGGCTTTTTATAGCTCGCGGAAACACTCGATCCGAAAAACTTGTCGAAGACTGACAAAGGAAAAATTCCGCGACGCGACGAGGAGGAACGTTGTGAAAATCCGTCGACGCTCGCGCGCTCCTAAGCAGAACAAGAATCCTGTCCAATTTCGCTCGCTCAAAGATTTTCCGTGCTTTCCCGCCGTCTACGGTAAATTCTTCCTAATTGACGCTTTTCGAATTGTGCAACAATAATGGACAATTTCGGAAGAGGAAACGCGATCAATTTCGGAAGAGGAAACGCACAAGCCTCGCGACTTGTTTTTATACTTGTTAACAATACATTTACGGAACCCGTGAAAACGACGGGTTATTATTATTCTTTAATTTACGATTATTCGTATCGCAAAGATACATTTATTAGTTATTTATTCAATTTATATGTTGCCGCAAATGTTGCAGTTAACGCTTGTTCGAAATCAGAGTAAAGAAATTGTTACTTTTCTAAGCTGATATAAAACAGCTGATCTTTGGGCTCCGTAAGTCTAGCGTTAACAATCGATAGCTATGAAAACGAGATGCGAGGATTACGAGATAATCGCGTCTGCACTCCCTGAATTGTGCACAATTTTTGTGCAGAATCCGAGCGTCGATTAGGGAAGAATTGACTTTACTCCGCCAATGTTCCGACGCGCGTTCTACGCAGAGACTCGCACGCATGACTCTCTGGGTGTCCTCGCAGGATGATTCTGGACGTTCTTCGAGCAGACAGCTGTTTCTTCTTTCGGAGAAAAACGTTCGAACGAAATTATTAGGTCGTCGGTGGGGTCCGGACGCAGCTCGCGTAGCTCGACCGGCGAATTTTCTTGCTTCGAAGCTCGTGTTCGCGCGAACACCCAGAGAACAGCGAAAAATCCTCCGTGTCAACACTGTGTCTCGCATCTCCACGTCCCGGCTCCGTGTCCGTGTGCGTGTGCGCGCGTATGCGTTCGAGAATCCTTGCCGCCGATAAATAATAGCCGGCCGTCGAATCGTTCGAGTTCGCGCGAAAAATCGAAGACTCGTCTCGTCGCGCCGAGGCTTCAGTCTTTCAATCGTTAACACCAGGGACGAGAAACGATGACGCTCTGTTTTTGTTTTCCATCTCCTATTTCGCAAAACGGAATCGCGATCTACGCGTTGTTCGCGCGTCGCGAACGAACGGTGCCCGAAAGACGTCGAAAGGAGGAAAGAACTCGCGGATCGCGCGCGCGCGCGTTCCTGCGAAAATGTCGAAAGCAACGTGTGACCGATCGTGTTGGCTCTGTTTCATAAATTGGTTGAATCCGCGGCTTCTCGAAAAAAAGTGTGTCCCGTCGATAAACGGATCGCGGCGACGCGGACGAACCTCGTCCGCCAAGGCCGCGTTCGTTCTCCGCTACGGTGGAGAAGAGAGGGGATCGCTTTGCTTCGTTCTTTGAAAAATAGCGAGGGCTCGGTGCACGTAGGTTCGTTTTTATTGCTTTTCGACACACGTATATATATATAGGCGAACGGATTATACGGTACGGGAGAACGACCGGTGCGGCCTTGGCGCATCGATTTGTCCGCTCGCGAGATAAGTTGTTCCGACGAAACACGCCTGGGAATCGAGCGTGTCGACACGGATTGCGCACCGTGCGGCGTTTCTACAGGGCGGAGACACGAGAATCCGGCGATCGGTTCCTCTCTTCCTTCAAAATCGTACCCCTAAAGAAGAACTCGCGAACACCGTTCGTCTCCCGCTTCGCAGACTGCAGACCTTCGCGCTAAATCAAAATGTTCCGCGTCAATTCCAAGCAGCGGCGGCAGCAACAGCAACAGCAGCAGTTCGATGGAGATTTCCGTCGACTTTCCGCGGTCGACTTCTCTTCCGACGTAAATGCAAAAAATCCGCGATCCAGTTTAACCGGAGAGGATAATGCGATCGGGACGAGCTCGCTCGCTCGCTCGCGCGATCGAAAACGCGTCGGTCTCTCGGGCTCGCGCGCGAAAGAGAGGATCGTCTCGCGATTCGTCGGTTCTCCACCCTGCACAGTACAATCCGCGCGTTGTTGACGAGCGACCGAAGAGAAACGTGTGTTTGTCAGCTGGGTGTTGTTGTTCGGTAAATAGTCCCTGGTCAACGTGAACGCATTTTATATTTGTTCCTTGCGCGCTTCTGCGGTACATGTATTCATGTATATATATATATTGTATATATTTATATGTACTGTATATGTGTATGTACTGTGTGTACGTGAGCATGCGTTGTACGTGGATGTAACGAAAATTAACAATTGTCTCTCAGAGGCTCGTGACGATGTGTGGCTTGGCAGTGGTGGAGGCGATCTCGGATAGTCGCACGTCGATCGGCATGCGGTCGTCGTACAGCGTCGGCGCCTGAAGAATGATGCCCGCCGTTCCGACGAACACGGCTAGTGTAAAAATCCACAGGAATAGCCTGTCGAGGACCATCGCGACATACTTCCAATCCTCTTTCACCTGAAACAGAACGTGCTCGTCCAATATGTTTGCCAGACGTTGCGGCGCTAGACTCTGACGCGACTAGCTTCGACGATGCAACCATTGCCGGTGCAACCCCCTCTTATCGGAGGGCATCCCTGCCTTCCGTGGCCGGAACCTTGACTAACCGTATCCTTGTTCTTTCACGCTGAACCTTCCGAGCCCTAAAAGTAGCCAAGATGTGTACAGGGTGTCCCGTAATTGGAATTGTCCTCGGAAAGGGGTGGTTTCTGAGATTGTTCGAAGGAGCTTTTTATTTGGCGAAAATGCAATCCGCGGCTTCGTTTGCGAGTTATTAACGGAAAACAGTGACCAATCGGCGGCACTGGGCTTTGCAACGATGAGAAGATTACATTTATTTAGACCTCTCGCTCATTTTTATTATCATACGCGCTTGTACGAAGAAAGGCTCGGTAGGTTTAGCGTTAAAATAGATAAAGGTCCCAGACTTTAATCCCTGATTCGATTATAAATTATGGCGGCTAGGCATTATGGTGCCAGGCGGCTAGGTGTCGCCTTGGCAACCAGCAATTCCCAAGTATTCTATTCTCTCCGGTTCGGGTGCTACCTCGAAAAAAGTGTTAGTTCAAGATTAATTCGAAGCACATCTTCGTCATCGGCGTGTCGCGAAACAGCGAAAGGACGAATGCCCTGTGTAAATATTCGAAACTCGGACCAATGTTCGAAGAGTGTGCTAGAAATTATTCACGTGATTGATAATTGTAAGAGGCGAGTGCCATCTGCGAAACGTACTCTAGTAGAGTCCTCTTCCCTCTTTGTATGATCGGCGATAAAACGAATGCCTTCGATGGCCTTGTACAGTTCTGGGCAGTGATGCCAATGATGAAGCGTGTTACAGAGAGCGTCCACGCTCTCCTCAGTCGGGAGTTGCGGTGGAGGTGCGGCCGTGGCTGCTGGCGACCCGTGGATGCGGCACGCGCTTCCCAAATTCACCGCCTCCAATTCCCTGCTCGGTGAAATTCTTTTACATTATCAACGAACCAACCACGCCGATTAACTCTAGAAAAACTGGCCGCAAAATCTCGATCCTCCCGCGTCCTCTAAGAACGACGCAACTCTTCGATCACCGGCGATTTCGTTTTATCGACGCGCCGACCGCCGCCGCGTTCATATTTTTCCGTGAATATAATAATATAATAATATAACAATATAATAATATAATAATATAATAATATAATAAGATAATAAGATAATAATATAATAATATAATAATATAATAATATAATAATATAATAATACTCGTCTTCGACTTCGACATGGACATTGGTTTTCGTTCAACTCGGTAAAGCGTTTCGACGTTGATCCGGTCGGCAGTCAACGCGTTCGCTCTACGAAATCGCATTGGAATTGCGATCGTCGCGCGTCGAGAATCGAGATTTTCCGACCGATTGTTACATCGTGGAATAGCTTTGGTTACGATACCGAGGGTGTAATTCGTCCTGCGAATCGAGACTCGGGAATAAAACGGAGGATTCGACCAGCTCCGACGCCGAAGTCTCGACGAACAAAGATGGATCCCGTAATTCGAGACCGTTGCACGTTCTAACCATCACGCGTTGCCCGTGATGGCCGGCCATGCTACGTTTATCTATCTGGTACTGCGGCCTGTTCAACAAGAAACAAAGAATCGTTATCGTCGATACGGGACAGACCTAGTTGCGGCGATAGAAAACGGGCGAATACGGTCATTTCTCCCGGAAAATGCGGAGCTTCGGGTTGCCGTGAATTTCCCTGTGCTACGCTTTTGTAATTTATTGCTACGTCGATGCTGAGGGCCGCGGAGTCGAATCGTGACACGTGGCCTCCGAATTGCCTTCGAATTGCCTCCGAATTGCCTTTGAATTGCTTCCGAATCGTGTCACGTGGCCTCCGAATTGTCTTCGAATCGTGAAAAAGAATAAAAATAAAAAAATTAAATCATCGTATTTATTCTAGCATGTTGGCCGCTGCCTTTTTTTGCCGTTTGCCCAGAATTTCTATAAAAGCGAGCCGCGAGGCCCAAAGAATCGCGTCCTAGTATTCTCGGATTTGCCGGTTTGAATTCCGCCCACCGAACATTTCTGAGAGAAATAACCGTACGCGCGTTTCCCGGTAATTAACAACTATTCTTTCCAACAACACAACAGCGACATTACTCTAGAAAAAGCGAGGAGATGCCGCTACGAAACCGCTCCGACTTCTTCAGCAATTAGCAAACGCTCGTCTAGCTACGGCAGCGATAACGTCCTACGAACGATCCGAAAAGCGACGAAACGCGCGCCGTCGTTGTTAGGACGTTACTGTTAGAGCAACAACATGGCAAGTGCTCGAGACTGGATGAACAAGCAAAGGCGGTCTAATCCGTCGGCGGGAAAATATGCGGGATCGAAGGGTGGCGAGCAAACACGTTAACTTTAAGGTTTCATTGTTTCTACGATGCTTTCCGGCAACGCGTTACCAGCGCGAAGCTTGCGCGACTACGTTCTACGCGCGATCGAGTACCGTTTCATTCGTCACGATGCAGAAATTGTATCAAGCGCATACGTTTATGAGAATGCGCGGATCGACGTCCAACGCGAGCAACGATTTCGCGAGCATGGTGTCGATGCCAGTGCAACGCCGAGAACGCAGTGCAAAGTGTTTTCTATGTATAGAACCGGCGTCAGAATTCATCGAGGTTGCCGATTGAAAAACAAATTGAAAAAGCGCGATTCTCTTTCTCGGTTGTGTTCCGTGTTCTCCGAATCGTTCTTTATCGACGCCGTTCGTTTTCGCCTATCGGTTTCTCCGGTGATTGCTTCGACTTCGTTAGCGCGCGGCCTCTTTCAGAGCCGATTGACCACTCGGCTCGAGATCGCGGCGCGCATTCTCGATAAAACACAATCGCGTTATCGTTGGAACTTTATCGATGGGAGTCGACAGAGATCGTTCAACGAAAGATCGCGGTCCCGGCGTTAATTAACGAATCGCGCTCGACCGCTAGGCTTTCGCCTAGAAATACAAAAGTTAAGTGTTCATTCTAGCATTGCTATCTATTCATATTAATGTACACCGGCACGATGGCCGCTGCCTTTCTTTGCCTTTCGCCCCAAATTTCTGTAAAAGCGAGCCGCGAGGCCGGAAGAATCGCGTCCTAGTATTCTCGGATTTGCCGCTTTCAATTCCGCCCTCCGAACATTTCTGGGAGAAATAATCATAGTCGGTGTTATCGAATCGACTATTATTTTGGACGACGGTGGACCCGGCGAATCGGTGCTCTCGAAGCCGAGTGGTCAATGTTCGAATCGACTAACGATCGACGCGAGCAAGTGTCTTGTCCGGTTCAAGTTTCGTATAATGGTCCGTGTCCAGCAATAAGTTGAATTCAATATGTATACGTGCGTGTGTTTGTGAAAGCGAGAGAGAGAGAGAGAGAGAGAGAGAGAGAGAGAGATGAGAGATAGAGAGAGAAAGAGAGAGGTGGTTGGTGTGCTAATGGTTGCAGAGACGACGTGACGGTAGGCGTCACGTCCGAAGCCACTAATGAACGTTCTAATGCTGGTTGGCATAGGCCCAACGGTTTGTCGAAACGCTCGTAGGAATGATATCTTGCCTGGAATCGTAATCGGATTTCTTCGAAGACGTATTATACCTGCGCATCGCCAGTAGTCTTGGCAGAACATGGATAAAAACACGACGGACCCACGGCGCCATCACGTGCGTCTGTGGCGACCGGAAGTGAACATTGAGGACTACCACGGTTACGCATATACTGAAACGTTACGGGTCAACGCATCAAATCGAATCCGCCGCTGTCGAACACAACAAGAAACAAGGAGCAATCGAGTGTCACAGTTCAAACGTACGCGGCGCATTCGCGAACGGATCCGGCCGCCGACGCGACCGCGTCTTCTCGAATGCGCCGCGCGCGTTCCGACCGAGCAGGAGCCGTGCCGCGTTCGACCCTTTCGATCGGCGGATCTTCCAAATTCGGAATTTCATAATCGCAAAGCGAACAAAATCTCCGCGCTTCGAATGGGGGAGGCCGTTGTTATCGATCGATCGCGGAAGGGTTGAACGCGCCTCGGAAATCGTGAGAACGATTATTGTCATTCGTCGGCGTCAATTATGTCCGTTCTGCGGCGAACGCAGCGTTCACCGGCGAATCCTCGTCACAGACCGGCGAACGCTCTTTCTGTTCTCGTAATATACGTACAAGTATCGATGATAATACCTGAAGGTGTCTAGGATCATGGTGAAAAGGACGAATTTACCGAGAAGCGGTACCACGAGCGATGTGGGCGGGATGATTTCGGCCAACAGGAGGAAGAACACAGTCAGCGACAGTAAAATTGAAATTGATAGGCTGACCTGCAATCCGAAAAAAAGAAACGTCGGCGTTTGCATATATAATCTCGGTGTCGAAACGAACCGGAAGGAAACGAACGAAAGAAAAAGCCGAGCAAAGAGACGCGGGGAACGCAGTACAGCAATGTCTCCCTCTTTGCGCACAAAAATGGACAATTTGGGAAGAGGAGGTACGATTATTCGTGCCTTGCGGCTCGCTCTTATAGTTGTTCACAATCGGTAATTATAAAAAGGAATTGTAATGCTCGAACAATGGGATCTCCATGAGCGCCAATTAGGGAGACGTTACCGTATGTATGTATCTCCCGCGAAGATTCTCGCCGGTCGCGCCGGCGAAGAGACGCGAGGGAAAAGGGCAGGGACCGGGAGAAACGATCGAAGGCAATGTCCAGATCCGATTTAGAATTTGAAGGGCATGCTCGAGGAAAACGAGTCCGCCACAAAGAGACAAAGAGGAGCCCCCTCGAGGATAAGTGCGACGAACAAAACGTTCCTTTCATACCGCCGTGACGGAGAATCGCGTCGCGCGAAACGTGTTAAGGTCGCGCCGTTGCTTCTTCTAATGCCGTTCCGAATCGCTTCCGCCGCGATCTATCAAAATCCGGAAGACCACGAATCCTACGCGATCTACGATGTCGAGAGAGAGAGATCGTTGCGCAGAGCGAAGGGAGAAGAAGCCTTCGTTTGCGTCCGCGGTTCTGCCGAGATCCCGCGGTCCTCTTCTTAGGCCTTGTGCTCGCGCGATGATCTGCGATCGAACGAATCGAGGTGTTGGGACGAGTGAGAAAGAGAGAGAGCGAGAGGGATAGAGAGTGAGAGAGGGAGGGAGGGAGATAGAGAGAGAGGAAGAGGTGGCTGGGAATGGCACGCTGACATCTGACCTTCTCTCCCCTGGTTTTTTCTTTCCTCCCCCCGCGGCCACTTTACCTTTCGCTTGGCATTTTCGAGCGAGAACAATACGACTGAATTATAGAGGCGCGCACACGGCGCAGCGCGGCTCGGCGCGGCGTCAAGTGGGTATCGGCTCGAGGTCAAGAGTCCACGAGGAATGGAGGCCGAGCGGCATTTACAGGTCTGCATTCCGGCGTTGGGTTTTGATATTTGACCCTCTCCACCTGGAATCCGTTCCCGATCGAACGAATCGGCTTCCCGCGAAATACCGACAGCCCCTTCCACCAGCAAATCAACCAGCCACCCACTCGGATCATCTCTCCTCGTCGTTGCATATTTTCACTCCGCCCGCGGTTCCGTTCCGTTCCGTCCGAGGCTTCGTTCGGTTCGCGCGTCGCGCCGAGACGTTCCCGCGGCCGATTCTTCGCCTCCTTCGAGCAGAAAGTGTCCGGTTCGTTGTGCAAGGTTGTGTGAACCCTGGCCACGCCGATCTCTGACGGCTCGTCAGACCTTATCCTCGTCGTCCAAGAGTCTCCGCGACTTTTTCGCGGCCGCCGCGCTTCGTCGCGCCGCTTTCAAAGGCATTTTTGTCACTCGCGCGATCGGAGATCGGCGCGAGAACGCCTCGAGCGGACCGCGCGCGACTTGCTCCGACACGGTTATCGATAGTTTCGGTAAACTATCCCCGGAGAAGCCTGAACGGCGAATGATTAAATCACGAGCACAAGGACCAAGGAGTTCGCCGTCGAAACCCAAGAGGTTGCGCCGCGCGGCCTCGAACTTAGGGGACGGAGTAATCCGTCGGAAAAGCAGGCGAACAGTTTGCCGATTCGTAATCGTAAATTCAGGGGAGATGAGAGACGCGAAGCCGCCGCGCGCGAAGTTTGCTCGGAGAGGGTGGGTGATGCGTGACCCCGGGTTCGAAGGGAAGGCCGAAGCGAGCCCGCTCCGAAGTCTCGCCACGTCAAAAATTGTCGGGTTAGCGCAAGTTTAATCTCGAACGAAAGAGGTAATTTCCTGGAAGCGAGGAGATAATCGCGTTGCCGCGCGATGCTCGATTTAAGGGCGGAATTTTCGAGAGATCAAAGGGCGCTGCGTGAATTCTTCGTGTTCCGTGAACGACGATACGACTCCCCGAAGATCGATACGACGACCGTGGTCGAGAGGAGAATTCGTCGTTTTTTTTTTGAAGGGACGAAACATCCCCCGAAGATCGCTGCAACGACGGACCTGTAAATTCTGAAAGTTTAATGGACGGAACAACCCCTAACGATTAAAATAGCCGGCGGGGGAGGGACCGGTATCGATTTTCGCGTGTTCGGGCCTCTGAAAAATCAAAACAGAGAGAGAGAGAGAGAGAGAGAGATGTTTACGGGAGAAAGAAGCTAGTTTCTTTTTTTATTTTTTCGGGCCGGGCTTCGCGGTGTCTCCGTTCACGGTCGCAGACGAACAAAAGGGAGAGAGAATTTATTTGGGACGCGACGCGCCGTTCGCGGAAAAATAGGAAAATAAAAGCGTGGACGCGCTCGCGCGCAAATGATAACAAACGAGTGGTAGAATTTCAGATAACTCACCTTCTCGCCACTGTCGCTTGGCAGGTAGAAGACCAACACCGTGAGAAACGAGATACCCATGCACGGTATTATAAGGTTGACGGTGTAAAATAGAGTCTTCCGTCTCATGGTGATGTTGAACGTGATGTCGAGGTAAGGCTCGTCGCAGCACGTGTAAAATTTTTCATTTCTGAAAATGAAACGCGGCCAGCGCTCCTGAACCGTCCCCTCCACCTATCCGAATTCTCGTTGCTCCGACGAATTCCGTTCCCGTTCCTGCTCCGTTCTGTTCCGTGTTCCGTGTTTTTTCGTGCTCTATTTTCCGTTTCGCGGCGGCCCCTGTGTGTAAACTGGCGAGACCGATGGGGCTCATCGCGCGGGGGGACCGGCGCGCGCGAATTCTCGTCGGGACTGCGGGGCCGCGGAGAACGAGAACCGTGTCCCGCTAATTTGATTACGCTCTTTTTCCTCTCGTCTGTTTGTTGTTTGTTAGCGGGCTCGACCGGATGAAAAATACACTGGCACGCCGTGCAAAACGGAGAAACGAGAAAAGTGGTGTGCGCGCGCGGCAGGAAACATTGGATTCTTTGGCCGAGCAAATATTTCGCCGGCGGAGGTATAAATAACGCCCCCGGGTAACTGTAATTGCCGAGGAAACAACGAAAGAGAGAGAGAGGGAAAATCGAAGCTGCGCCGATCGGAGCAACGCGAACGATTTCGCGAAATGAAACGCGAGTCGACGAGCCGCGCGAACAAACGACCGGAGAACGATCGAGCAGCCGCGAAGTCGAATTTCGATTTTCGACGGAGACGCGTACGATCCTCGGAGCAACGCGCGCGTTCAGCAATTAACTCGATTATCGGATCGGCAGGAGCAGCTCTATCGAGCGGTCGGTTCGTCGCGTAAACTGAAGACTCACCTCACGGCTGGGACTTCGAGGATGTCCCACTCGACGGAAGTGTAAAACTCCGACAGATCGACGCCGATGTCGACGACATTGCTGCCACGGATCTCGTCGATGTGCCTGAGATCGACCTGCGGAACGAACAGCGGCAACAACACTGTCTATTTATTACTCGCGATTAAATCGTTCGCTTAACTTAAAGGACCGCTTAGCTTCTGTGCAGTGTACAACGCGAAGGGCGGGGGTCGGTGACACGCCGGTCTTTTTCGATCGGCTTCGATGTTTCCGCTGGGAGGAGAAACGACGCGACGCGAGATACATATCCGCAACGGTTGCTACCATTAAATTGATGCGCGTTCAATGGACTACAGATATCGCGATACTAATGCGGAGATTGGATTTCACGCAACCGAATACGCGTGTAAACTTACACCGCCCGTGGAGCACACGATACGCGGACGATAACGCGATTAACCCTTCGATGGATGCGCTGACTCCCCGGAAATTCCAAATAACCGGTCACGAGCGACACCCGCGCCTACTTGCCGAATGTAGCGTTAGAAAATTGCGACGAATTCTAGGAAGTTACGCCCGTCGGACGATATCGCGTAATCGCGTTCGTTCATGGGAGCCGAAGGCGAACGCGTGCCGGCGATAGCGTTGACGTTAAACGTTCGGCGTTGCATCGATGCACCGTGGCTTTCCGTTGCGTTACGTTTCGCTAGCCGATCAAATAGATATCAGGGCCTTGAAACCGATCCGCACGGCCCTGGTGCGAATGCGCCCGTTGATTCCATAGACATAGCAGGCCGAGGCCCGCGCGCGCGCGGCCTCGTTAATGGTATTTATGACGTTCGACGGGAACGCGACCGAACCGTTCCCGTTGCGGGGACTGGTTGTTGTTATTTCGAATTTATCGGCCGCAATTAGAATACAATTAAATCGGTCGTTCTAACGAAACGGTCGCGGCAACAGATATCCTCGCGACGCCCCCGCGCCCGTTTAATCGATACATTAACTCCGCGTTTAATTACGGCAATTTACGTTCGCGCTTGCTTGCGCGCTGCCTCGGTCCGGTTCGGGCTGCTTCGGGCTCTAAGACGACCCTCGGGGGACCGACCCGCGTCGATTACCGTTCGCGATTCTTCGCGGCCGTATCGCGGCAACGTCCGCCAATTAATTTCATCGACGAAACTCGATCGGAGACTCGACGCGCGCGATTAACCCTCGCGTCGCGCACCCTCGCCCCGGAAACGGTCGCATTGTAATTTTCCGAAGCGATCGCGTCGCGGCGTTGGAATTTGACGCTCCGGCCGGAAAGCGATTCGTTTCGCGAGCTCTGATATCTGCGGTAGAGTCTCGAAAATCGAAGCGTTTAAGCGTTTCGATCGGGAGCAGCGGGTTTACCGCGTCCAGGAAGCGGCGAGAGAGCCGGCCGTCCCGGCTCCGATCGTTGTCTCGAAGGAGTAATCAAGGATTCCGGCGCAGTTTACCAGGCTAATCCCGTTAACTCGGGCTTAATGGGCTGAAATCGATGGAAATATCGGGTGCTGCCGCGGCTGGCCCGTCTTTCCCACGAGCGGATCAAAGCCTTCCGGCCGCTTCGATGCGCGGTCTAAGATCCGGCCCCCGTGTCCTACCCTCTCTCTCGATTCTCGCGAGATCCGCTTTACCGTATTTCTCGACCCGAATCGGCCGGCGTTTCTTCTCTTTTTCTTCGCCGCCTTTTACCAGTCTTTACCGTTCCCCGTAAGTTTCGAGCGGAATAAACCGCGCCCCCCGGACACGGAGAATGGAGGATCGGGGCTCGAAGAAGTTTCTCCCGGCGGAAATAAAAAGGCGAAACGTTACCTGGAAGCCATCGTAAGTCCACGAGCCGAACTTCATGACGCACGTTTGCTCGTCGAACGGAAAATATTCGACGTCGATCTCGCAGGAAGACTTGTATATCGCCGGTGGCTTCCATTCGACCCTACCTGTGTAATTCAGCGTCGCCTTCGTGGCCAGCGTCACCTCGAAATTACCGTCGGCACTGTCCAAATGGTAAAACACAAAGATTGTTTCACTCGGGATCTTTTCTCCTCTCCCTCTATACGCTCCAGCGTTCTATTCGCTCGCGAACGGAGAAAATTCGATCGCGAAGCACGCGACGTGCTCCGGCTTTCGTTTTACTTGATGAACGTACCGCAGCGATCGGTCGATCGGCGACACGCTCGACAATGTTTCTGTCCGTTCGATGGATAAATCGTTCGAGAGATACCGTGTGTCGGGGAGCATCGAGATTATTCGTATTTCACGGCGAACGATCAAGAGTTTACGAGCTGATTCGTATCGCGGTTATTATATTACGTAACGAGCAAATTTAAATTTCAGCGCCGATTCGGTCGTTTAAATATTTCATTAATCGGCGCGAAGCGCGGCCGTATTAATATTTCCGGCGAGCGTTAACGAGCGGACGCAATTTTAGAGGGTCCGGGGGCGAGTCGAGCCCATTTTACAGCCGTGTGCACCTCTCGGTTCTCCTCGGGGCGGCGCGGGGAGCAAACGCGACACGCATTCGGGGATTGTCGATGGCGCCCCGCCAAATAGTTTTTAACGACAACGCCGGTTGCCATTGTCGCGATTTCGATCGGAAGCACGGATAACGCCGGAATCGGCGCGTAATTGCGAACGATTTTCTCCGTTCGGATTCTCGTGTTCGGGGTGTCTTACTTGTTGTACAAAACTATATCGGGCCTCCATATATGATCGGATGGCACGTGCAGCATTTCCACCCCACCATATTCTTTCGGATCCCACTTTAACTTGTAATCGTACCATGACTGCGAACAGAAGGAGCAAAGCTCGATTACCTTCGCTAAATCTCCGCGCGGCTCTCCGTGGACTTGCACGAAAAACCGCTGCTGTCAAAACTGCAATTTTCGTCGGAACCTGTCGAACTCTCGTTCCACTCGCGCGAGCGTAACGCGCCGTCCATCTCGTGGACCGCCGAGAAATTCGTTGAAAATTGCGAACCCAGGCGCGGAGAATGACTAATTAAACGTATCGTAACGAAATCGCGGGAATATGTCGGCGGAATACTACCGATCGACCGCAGAAAGTTGGTCGTTCGGAGGCTAATTAAAAACAACAGCGAACGTGATAACAGGCGAATTAAAAGACGCCGAGCTATTCGCGGACGCTTTCGATCGTTTCGACCAGATTTCCACGGATCGAGATCGATCTTCGCTTCGGGAGAAGGAAACGATCGCGAGAGAAGACCGTATCGACGTCTGCTTCGACTCTAATTTCAATGGGAAAACGATTGTCCGCTGTTCGCGTTTCTTGTAAAAAAGCGTTCGCGAGCGCAACACGCCGCATATTCGAACGAACGGCGAACGCGAAGCGAATTAACGAGGTCCGGTGAAATTTTGTCGTTCCGTGCGGACCGTTGAATACGCGGGTTAATAATAACAATGATAATAATAATAATAATAATATCGCTTTTATCGCGTATTATGCAAGCGAAGAGAGGCAGCTGCGATAAAAGTCGGACGAGAGGTAATATAATACAGAATATAATAACGTAACGCAGAGGGAACCCGGTGCTCTCTCGCAGATACAATAACTCCTATTTACCAACTCCGGCCGGGATTATTTATTATGAAACGCGTTGCACTCGCGATGGATCTGGTCGAACGGAAAGCGGTCCCCGCGTACTCGCCAGCGAAAGCTGTGCTCGTGTACCGAACATATAAAAGATCATTTCGTTTCATCCGTTCCGATCCCGCGATTGTTACTCCCCCGCTGTTTTATAAGCGGAACCTGCGGAACCTACGGAATACGTATTACCGTCGTTACTTTTATTGCGTTCGGAGCACAGCTTCCGGTCGTCGATCGTCGTTCGAACGCTCTCGAGCTCTCCGTTCGTAGCTAATCGTTCGAGAGTCTCGAGCCGTAGCGCGTCGATGTTCGTCGTACGAGCCGTTCGCCGGTCGTTTCGTTCGGGGAGGATCGAGGGAAAAGGATCGAAAATGATCCCGCGAAATTGCCGAGACGGCGGGGACGCGTCGATCGGGTTTAGAAACACGGTGTGTAATGCAATCATGCCGGTCAATTTCCTTTAATTGATTCTATTCCTGGCCCGACAAAGCGCACTCGAACGCAATCGAGGGGATTCGCGACGGTATTTGCCGACCATTAATCTATCAGCCGGCGTCACAGGGTAACGACCATAAGCACATATCGACCGGACCGGCCTCGCATCGAACGTTCGCCCCTTTCGTCCGAAACGCCGTGTGGTCCTCCTCGCCCGCATATATTAAAGAAAGCGGCCCTAAACCCGAGACCCGTTTCCCCGGACACCCGAAATTTCACACGGATCCACACTTTCCTCGGATAAGAGAGCAAACAGAAGCTACCCTCTCCGGTCCCGACGAATTTAGTTCAGAGGAGACCGCCCCGTCTCTTCCGAACGTTCGAGATCCCGTTCGATCCGGAATTCTTAGCCCGAAGAATATATTTCCAGTGTTCGAGAGAGTGCATCGAGGACCAGGGGCACCGGTGTTGCCTGGAAATGGTCGCGTTTCAACGAATCCGAAACCGGTGCCGCAGCCGCCGCCGTTGTCGTCGCGAAACGAGTTCAACGGCCCCGGCGGCGTCGGTAATTTCATTCGGGTACACGAGGATTTCCACGGTTTCGGTGAAATATCGATGGGAGAAAAAAAAGCGACGGAGGAGAGAGAGAGAGAGAGAGGGAGAGAGAGAGAGAGAGAGAGAGAGAATGGCCGAACCAGGGAAATGGGTGGAACGCGGAGGGACGGTCGCGAATCTATCTTACGTAATCCTGCAGCCGAAAGTGGGTTGCACGGTTCACCGGACTTATTTTGCGACTCTCGAGTGGAAGCTTCTGGCCGATTTTCGTTCCGCCGACTGCCGCGAGCTTATACGGGGGAGGTGTGTTTCCGAGATCGTGGCGTGACCGGAAGCGAGCCGATTTCTCGCGTGAAAGTAAGCCCGAGCGCCTGGAATCGAAGGTACGTATTTTTTTGCTCGCGCGAGCTGCCGTTACTTCGCGGCGAGTAAGTCGACTCCGAAAAGCTTCCCTTCTCGTTCGTGTTCCGGTGCCTAAGTGGAAACGATCCTGGCGAGCGATGGACGGACACTTTAGGCCCGCGTTCGACCGACAGAAATATTTCTTCGTTCTGCTTCTCGGTCGAGAAGCTATGCCCGAATTCCGTCCGAGAAAATTGCAGTCTTCGGAGAAGAAACTCGGACGACGATCGATGAGACGCGCGATCGATGAAACACGGATAACCGCGGCGGGGAAGGCGTTCGTCGACGGAGCGAACTCACCTGCTCGACCCACAGGTTAGTCGTCATGATTTGATTCTTCAGGTTCTGCAAAGAAACGCAACGGTTACGGGGGTCTAATCGCTTTCGAAATTGCTGGTTTTCTTCTCGCGCGGAGAAGAGGATTTTTTTTAGTAGGATTTCTTAGCCGTTTTAGTGTCCGAGCGGCGCTTGTGCATGTGCGTGTGCATGCGCGCGATTCGACACTCACTACATCGATCAATTGGGAGAGTTTGAGCTTGATTTTAACGGTGAGGGCGTCTGTGACGTTGACCACTGGACGAACCAGCTTGTTGTAATTCGACAGGAGGTCGTCGTACAGTCGCTTGGCGTCTGGGTTTCCTGAGCATCCTGCAACACCAACGGGCAAACATCAACAATTAATTAAACGGTTCCCTGTCGCGTTCAATCGCAGCCGTTTCGCCGAGTTTCGATCAATTAAACGGCCGGATCGAACCGCGACGTGCTCGAAAGCGTCGCTTCGAGAAACGAATTTTCCGGCGGACAGAAAAATTCGGAATTCGCGGTCGTTTATGCAACGTTTCGGTGATATCGTCGACGAAAAATTTACAGGAGACGAGGAAAGAGAGGGAGAGAAAGAGAGTTGGAGTTCTAGAGAGCTAAAAAGAGAGAGCTAGAGTGCTAGAGAGCTCAAGAGAGAGAGCTAGAGTGCTAGAGAACTCAAGAGAGAGAGAGAGAGAGAGAGCTAGAATGCTAGAGAGCTAAAGAGAGAAAGAGAGAGAGGGAGAAGGAGCTAGGTGCACACAGCTGTCGTCAGGTGATGTCTGGCGAGAGCTGGCTGGAGGTTATCCAGGCATCGGTTGTCACAGGGATGTTTACGAAAGTTTTGGAATGACAAGTTGGCCAAGTCGGGGAAGTATGCGAATGAAAGTTGGGAATGACAGCGCGACGCGGCCCGGCGACGTTCCGTTGCCTTAGCCGAAATAGGGTACATTGTTTCCGCAGGATCTTCGCTGCGGAAACTCGAGTCGGCGCGACGCGGCAACGGCTGTCTTTCGATAAGAGGATTGCGTAATTTCGCGAGGGGAGTCCTTTGAATTCGTTCGAACAATAATAAAGCGACAAACGGTCCTCCCTCTGTTACCTCGGCGACGGGGAAAACGGGGCGCGCAGACAGACACGCTGCACCGGTTGCACCGGCGTATCCACGCCGGTGCAACGGGATCGCGATCCGCGGAGATAAATCAAGGCGCGAACGATTAGTTCGATAGATTAGGCGATCCGGAGCGAAGAGAACTGGAAGGGCGCGCGGGGGAGCGCCCCCGCCGCTCGACGGCGTTTTTCATTAATCTGGTAATAGATTTCGCTTGGCACGGTGCACCGGGCTTATTATTTATCGTTTCCGAACGTTGTATTATCGGTGTTTTACGAGCTTCCTGGAGCGATACCAGGATGGTTCATAATACGGTTGAACGTGCGCGGGACAACGCTGCCGGGGATTTCAATTTTGAAGCGGTGCCAGGATCTATGCGATACACCTTGCCTATTTAGTTTTATTTATTCGTCTCTACGGATCCCCGAGCGATCCTGTCAACGATCCGGCGAGCAGAGAAGCGTCGCGGATCGGCGAAATACGGTAACTGTCTCCCTAATCGACGCTCTGGTTGTCCACAAGACTGGACAATTTGGGAAGAGGAGACACGATTGTTCGAGCCTCGCGGTTCCTTTTTATAGTCACGAATTGTCAACGACTATAGAAAAGCGAGCTACGAGGCTCGAATAATCGCATCTCCTCTTCCCAAATTGTCCATTTTCGTGGCCAATCTTAGCGTCAGTTAAGGAGACATTACTGTAAAGCGAGAGAAACGCGGCCTCCTGGCCCGATGGTCGATCGTGCGGAAAGGGCAACGCGGAATCGCGACGGTAGCGATTACCGTGGATCGGAAACGTAATGATAACCCGGCAGCCGAGCAGACGGTCATCGATTCGATCGCAATCTGCTCGCGAGTAATCGGTTAACTAGCCGGAAATTACGTGCGCCGGGAGCGTGCCAGAGCGCGGTTTTCTTCCGAACCGAGTAGGACGAATCGCGGGGGCCTCCTCGTGGCCGAATTCGGACGATCGCGGATGCTACGACGACCTCTCGATCGTTTCCGAAGCACCGAACACGCCCTAATACGATACGTACATGGCCCGAGGGACGATCGATCCGAAAATCCGCGCCGATCGCGTACCCAAGAAATTCCCAGCCGAAACAACGGAATCGACGGATCGGTGCGATCGATAAATAATTCAAGAAACCCGGATAGAGGATCTTGCGCGCTAATAGCGTGCATTATTCTCGAGCACTATGGGAAACGGTTTAACGAGGTGCTCGTTTAATACGGAATCCGACGGAGTCGTTGATAAAGCAAACGGATATACTTCGCGGTCCCTGTATACCGATCCGTTGAAATCTATGCGTTCGTTAAGATCCGACGATCGTCTTAACGCATCGGGTTCCTTCGAAATTCGTTTATCTCTGTCGGAGAAAAAATCGGCCGCCTCCGATCACGATCAGCGTCGAGACAGAAGCCAGCGGAAGATACTTTGCCCCGAATTACTTGCCTCGCGAGGGAAACGAAAGCGGTCGTTCGATGGAGCGACTCTGAATGCGCCAGACACGAAGCGCTGCATTATAAATAACAATTAGGAGAAGGTAGCCGTGGTGCACCGAGAGCAAGCTGATGCAGTCTCCACGGACCTGGGCAAGGAGATGAGATTCGGACCGAGGCGAGGCGAGGCAGGGCGAGGCGAGGCGGTCTAAGCGGTATCGACCGGTCCTGGCCGGCCTAAACCGACGGAATAAGAATCGACCAATATGGTAAGTGACGTTAACTCGGGAACGCGCGAGACNATTTTCGTGGCCAATCTTAGCGTCAGTTAAGGAGACATTACTGTAAAGCGAGAGAAACGCGGCCTCCTGGCCCGATGGTCGATCGTGCGGAAAGGGCAACGCGGAATCGCGACGGTAGCGATTACCGTGGATCGGAAACGTAATGATAACCCGGCAGCCGAGCAGACGGTCATCGATTCGATCGCAATCTGCTCGCGAGTAATCGGTTAACTAGCCGGAAATTACGTGCGCCGGGAGCGTGCCAGAGCGCGGTTTTCTTCCGAACCGAGTAGGACGAATCGCGGGGGCCTCCTCGTGGCCGAATTCGGACGATCGCGGATGCTACGACGACCTCTCGATCGTTTCCGAAGCACCGAACACGCCCTAATACGATACGTACATGGCCCGAGGGACGATCGATCCGAAAATCCGCGCCGATCGCGTACCCAAGAAATTCCCAGCCGAAACAACGGAATCGACGGATCGGTGCGATCGATAAATAATTCAAGAAACCCGGATAGAGGATCTTGCGCGCTAATAGCGTGCATTATTCTCGAGCACTATGGGAAACGGTTTAACGAGGTGCTCGTTTAATACGGAATCCGACGGAGTCGTTGATAAAGCAAACGGATATACTTCGCGGTCCCTGTATACCGATCCGTTGAAATCTATGCGTTCGTTAAGATCCGACGATCGTCTTAACGCATCGGGTTCCTTCGAAATTCGTTTATCTCTGTCGGAGAAAAAATCGGCCGCCTCCGATCACGATCAGCGTCGAGACAGAAGCCAGCGGAAGATACTTTGCCCCGAATTACTTGCCTCGCGAGGGAAACGAAAGCGGTCGTTCGATGGAGCGACTCTGAATGCGCCAGACACGAAGCGCTGCATTATAAATAACAATTAGGAGAAGGTAGCCGTGGTGCACCGAGAGCAAGCTGATGCAGTCTCCACGGACCTGGGCAAGGAGATGAGATTCGGACCGAGGCGAGGCGAGGCAGGGCGAGGCGAGGCGGTCTAAGCGGTATCGACCGGTCCTGGCCGGCCTAAACCGACGGAATAAGAATCGACCAATATGGTAAGTGACGTTAACTCGGGAACGCGCGAGACAATCGGCGTGTATCTAATCAAGCGAGTGGTATTGTCTGGTAACAGGTCAGAAAAGTAGGTAGATAGGTGGCGGCGTTCGACGTATCGAGTCGGACGGGTAGAACGGCTCCGATCTAATCAGGTAAGTAGCGCACGTCAACGCTTGTTCGAGCAACGCGGAAGATACTCGGCGTTCGTCGTCGCGACACGAGAAACAACCAGACAGACTTCCGACAACATTACGCGCGGGAACTTGGCTGGCGCGGAAAGCCGACCGAGATTTCGAACCCGCGATATTTTCCTAAGCTCTGTTTTCCGACCAAGGGGCTTCTGGCTTTCTTCTCGCGTTACCGATTCTCGATCGAGAGCCTCCGAGATATCCGGCGACAAGACAACAGGCGAGGAACAAAGGTGCGTTTGTTGTCGACTAACCGGCGCATCCGAGCGGTCGAATCGAAATTCGTTCGGGGACCGAGCGGATTTTTCGACGCGCGGCGTGCTAATGGAATCGAACGAGCGGAACTTTGTTCTCGCGAGAGCGACCGGAAGAATCGTAAAAATGTGGGCACAGCCGTGTCCCGATAGCGCGGGGATTGGTCGGCCGGAAAACGGGCCGAGCATGTGCAACCCGATTACACGGATCTATCTAAAAATTCATAGACTCCGGCAAAGTATTTTTCGATTCCTCCCTCTCTCTCTATTTTTCCCCTCGGAGCCGGTATTAACACACCGTCGGGCATCGGGTAACATTTTCCAGAGTTATTTTCGGTCGGACAGTCCCGGTTCTATTTTTTTTTTTTTTATAATCCATTTTTCGGCCGTCCAACGACAGTCGATTATCGCGCACGATTTTTCGAACGTCGAGCCGAATTTTTATGCGCGAGAATTGAAAAATGCCTTCGCGCGTCGCCGACGAGCACCGGCTTTCGAGATGCTGCGCATTCGACGATTTAATCGGGGAGCGTGCGTCGCTGGAAAAATAGCGCTGTTTGGATTTTTACGCGAGACATTACAAGCCCGCAAACGGGCCGTGATCGCGGCTTTATGGAAATGCGAGCCGTTGCGCAAATATACCGTTATTTACCGACGTCGATTCCCGTTCCGCCCGGGGATTCATTTTTATCGAGAGAGAGAGAGAGACGAAGCATTTTACGAGAACGAGAAGCAACGACGATTCGATCAACGGCACGAAGAATTTAAAGAAACGGTGTTCGCGAGCCGCGTCTCGCGGTCCGATTTCTCCGTGCCACCCGGTACGCGCGTGTTCATCCATTTCAAAAGCGACGTAATTACATACTGTTTGTCTGGCCAGATGCGATCCCGCTCTCCTTAATAAAGTGGCCACGTCCTATTCTACTTACCGGACAGACAGACTCATTACACTTGTCGACCATGTACGGCGCTTCTACTTGTCCGTTCAAGCGCCCTCCCCATTCTACTCGCCTGTGCAAACACGATCTTGCACTGCTTATGTGTTTACCTTGAGCCCACTTTTCGCGTCTGACCACATACGCCGTGTTCTACTTGGTTAGTTAGCCCCTCTAGTTCACCGTACGTATGTATCTTGCCCGTTTTGCTTGCACTACGGACCCCGAACACCCTCCAACTAATCTCCCGGTTTCACCGATAACGCGAGCTCTCGGGCTTATCTTAACACGCTCAAGGCGATCCCATCTCGAACATCGATTTCAATCCTGATCCGACGTGTTTTTTTTACATTTCAGCGGGAGTTTATTTTGCCGGAAAATCGGAGGCTTCGCGATCGAGACACGGGGGTTCGACAGCCTCGCGGGGCATTGCAATTTCTCCGAGTTACTTGTCCAGCGGTATCGTCGCGTATTTGATTTCATTCATTAATGATAACGAGCAAAGGTTTATAATACTCGCGTATCTCGCGTTCTGTCGCAAGGAGCTGAAGGCACCGAAAAAGTAACGATTCGAACGGTTTCGAGGATCGTATACACTTATTGGGACTGAAATCGCGCGGAAGTCGAACGAAGCAGCGTATCAGAAACGATTCCATTCGGAAGGGGTAGAGAGCGTGAAATAATATATAAAGTTTCAGGCCGGAATGGCCTATCGAACGAGCTCCCCGGCGTTCTCCGTGAAATAAACACGGGATAAGTGGATCCCGGAGCCGCGAATAAAGAGTCTTTTAAACGTCTCCCGCGCCGGAACTCAATATTTCTCGATGTGTCCGGCTCATCGAGCAATCCCGCGGCGCGAACGGTAGACCGAGAGAGAAGAGAGAGAGAGAGAGCGGGAGAGAGCGAGAAAAGGAGAGCGCGCGAAATGCAATATCGTCTCGGTTACATAGCGCTCGTTCTTATTGACGAATTGGCTGGGCCAGCCGCGCCATAGCAACAATTTCACGGACATCGATTCGCCGACTGATTGCACCGATAGTATTTCTTCTCGATTCCCCACTCGCGCCGATTAAAACCGACGGGGACGTCCCGGTTCCGAAAGGTAGCTCGATCACCTGCCCCGGTTGGCTCTAGACGAGTCGCGGTTTGCGGATCGAATATCGATATGGAATCGGATCAGGTCGAATCCCGGCATCCCGACTATTGCCTTCGATTCGGAAAATTGTTCTATTCGGGAGAACAAAGGGGCGCGCGTGCTTCTTCGAAAATAATAATCGACCGAACGAGATATACAGTAATGTCCATCTTCTGTATATCGTCGACGTTTCGGAAATCGCCGATGAGAACAAACGACGACGACGACGACGGAGTTCTTACGAAATTATGACGGACACCGTGTACGGAGAGGTCGGCCGCTGATTCGGGCAGCTTTACTTCTTCGTGGAAATAATTGAGCGAGACTCTGCCGGCGGAGGAGCGGAATCAAATTACTTTTCGCAGGGAAAAAAGTTCCGGTTCGCGACGACCCGCGACGACCCGCGACGCGAGGCAACGTTTAATTCGCCCCTTAACTTTTTTCCGCGTCTGGGGTCGTTCTAGAGTTTATAGCGGTGTCCCAGTTCCCCGTGATACCGTCTCTCTATTTATAATATAACCGGCTTGGCGCGGGCTGGGCGCCCGAAGAAGGCCCGCCGCCCGCTCGGTCTGTTCCTGAAAGTTCATCCTGCGGCTCGAATCGACTGCGCATAAATTTTGCAAACACGTGTTCGTTAGACACGTTCGCCTGCACGCGACTGGGAACGTGTTACGGTTGCTGCACCCTGTCCCCCCTTTTTCGCGGTTCGTGCCACCCTGCATCCTCCCCTCCTCGTTTCGCAAACCGTTTCCGCGCGGTCGTTTCACCTGGCAGATCACCTAAAACACGTTCGCCGACCGACGAGTGGAAAAAGACTAACATTGCCGGACGTTGACGAGCGCGGCCCCGGGCATTGTGTGTGTGCGAAACATTTACATTCGAATGGGAGCCGAGCGAAACGCGATGCATATGCACCGCGGTCGGCGCGGAGTGGCGCGGTGCATCGCGCGGTACATCGCCTCGCATCGCCGCGCATTCGCGACGCACCGTCTCCGCGCGTCTTACGACTCCATTCGGCGATCATTGTGCGCCGCTGATGGAATTTACAGGGCGCCGCGCCTCGACATTTGGATTGCAAAAGCAGAGGGAATCCTGGATCGACAATGGAAGACAATGGTGCCCGGAATCTCAATGACCGCGGAATTCGGGACGGGCCGCGTTAAGAACAGAATGGGAACGCTATTGTCGTTGCCAACGACGTAGATTTCGCGGGTCTTTCTACCGCGCCCCGCGCTCGCGCACCCACCACCATTGTCCCGGAATATTTTCCGCGAGTTCGGCCCTAAGTGATTGCCGGGCTCGAAAAATTCGAGACAACCGCCGCGGCATCGATTCTCGCGGCAAAGATCCACGATCGAGAATAATCGGAGCGGCGCGCGGAGGATTGTTCTCCTCGGTCCGGTGACTCGATTCGCGTAAAAATAACCTCCGTCTGGCCGGCCGCTATCCTATTTCACTTATCAGTGAACGACCTCGTGCCCGTCTGACCAGATACGTACCCCGGTGCCGTTCCACTTCCTCGAGTACGCGCGGTTTGTCTGATCGTAACTTTGCCCATTCTACCGATTCGAGAGCGTCCGCGGACGCCGCAGCAGTCGCGTCGCTTCGAGCCGTCGAAATTTCGATTGTCTCGATAATAAAAGATAGCAGCGGTTTACGGTAAATTCGCTTAAATCGTCTCTCGGCTCGTAAACAAAAAAATGGACAATTTGGGAAGAGGCGATACGATCGTTCGAGCCGTCGAAATTTCGATTCTCTCGATGATAAAAGATAGCTGCGGCTAACTCGACGTTTACGATAAATTCTCTTGCAGGTGGTAAACAAAAAATGGACAATTTGGGAAGAGACGATACTATGCGAACTATGCGAATCCGAATGATCCGTTTTCGTTTCCAACCTGAAGAACAATTTCCGCGAATTTGCCGTGTACGACCGCGAACGTCGGGCCCTTGTTGTCCGATAGATTTATCGTACTCACCTGATATGAGCACCAACACTATCCACATGATCCCCACCAGGCTCTTCATCATGTCATTGTGTCACGTCCAACTCATTTCTTCTCGCCTCCGTGCTCTCCGGATCCTTCACAGTTCCACCACTGGAACAGGGAAAATGTTGCTCGATGGAGTGGACCGGCCGATGCGCCGCGAATAACTACTTAGAATCGAACCGGCGCGAGCACGTTTTTCCTGATAAATGGCTGTCCATCCATCGCGAGCGCCAATTAAACCACTCAGTGGCGGTTTCGAGTGGAATACAACGGGACAGCCATTTATTCTCATAAAAACGGGAACGCGACGCGCGGAGCCCAGTGCCGTATCAACTCTGTATTGTTCCTGCGATTCATGGACGCGTTCCTCGTCGCACACGCTCGATTGAAACCGACGACGGCGCCGTCGCGATTTCGTCGCGATTTCGTCGCGACCGGGCAGAACGACGTCCGAATCCGAGCCGGGAGCTGATTTTTGTTCGCGAACGATCGACAGTCCGCGAGTCCGCGTGCAGCGAGGAACGCATCGGCGCGTTAAAGCCGGAAATGTATCCCCGTTGGTAAAACCGACGATATTTCAAGAGATCCGCCGTGTTTTTTCGGCGGGAAAACCTGGCCGGGCCCCAGCGAGAGAGCAAATTGATGTGACTCGGCTGAAAAATTCGAGCAAAGATCTATGTATTTGGGAAATCGGATCGCATTAAATTTCCACGGATAGAAATCGACGGGGTTACAAGCAGACGGACGCGTTCGCACCTGCCAGGTGCGCTCGCGCTCGTTTCCGGATTAATTAAAAGTCTCGCGACACGGTCCGATCGGGACGCGTTTTTATTCAGCGGAGACTCCGATCCGATGGCGGTCGCTCGGCCGCGAAAACGAGTCCGCCTTCGGTGAAAGAAAATTGAATCCGTTATCCGGGCGCCGAGCGAGAAGCGTTACCGGTGCTCGCTCCGGCCGTTAATTAATCATTGATAAGCATCTGTCGCGGGTTCGTATCGTAAGCTCAAAAATAGTCTCGGTTAATAGTTTCCCCGTAGAACACACACCGCGGGCGATCGTCCGCCGGCTCGTAAATCATCGGCTCGGCGTTGCCAGCGCCCACCGTGTGTCACGCTAGTTTCTTTCTCTCCCGCAATTAGATTCGAGGAAAATTTACCACCCGGGACAAGTTCGCGGGAGCCGGGAAGGTGGAAACGGCATTTTCTATTCCGGCTTTCTACGGACAATCGGGAAGCAGAGAGTAATTGTTCGGCGAAAAGTTTCGCGTTCGGTATGCCCCGAATCGAAAGGCGGAAAGTTTCTCGGATAATTACGAGAGCAGTCTGCAGTCTCGCAGCGAGCGAGCGAGCGAGCAGCTGGAAAAAATTGTAGCTGCGCGCTCGGTGACAAATCGTTGCACGGCTGCGAACCACCGTTGCTGCACCGGTCCGCGGTATATGTAGAACGGTCTGCGGGTGTGCAGCCGGGAGTGCAGCCGGGAGTGCAGCGAACGGCAACTGCAACTGCAGCCGCAGCTCTGCGGTCCGCGCGGCTCGGAACCGATCGCGGTCGCTCGAAACCGATCGAACCAACCGATTACCGATCCAACGGAACGGCTCGGCTCGATTCGGCCCGTTTCGGCCTCGCTCGGCCGCCTCGCAAAATTTTCCTCCGACCGTAAATTCGCCGCTGGTTTTCCCGATCAGCTGGTCGCGAGAAAGGCAGCCGTGTGCGGGATCTTTGCGCGTTCGCGGCGAATTCGTGAAATACAAGGGAACGTTAATGAACCTTTAAAAAGCTCGGATAACTGCGCCGCCGAACTAGCGCGACGGCTCGCAAATTTAACTATTTGTCTCCTCGTTATATCGTGCTTCTTGTTCTTCCTGTTGGCCGAGGGCTAACAACGACGAATTTTACGCGCCGTGGAAAATCGTTCTCGCGGCGGTCGATTTCAGCGTTTCGGTGGTCCGTTTAAAGAATTCTTGGAAGACCGCGCGACGATAGATCGACAGAATCCGTGGAGAAGCAACAATTCCGCGGACGAGACGGAAGTTTGATGGAAAACGCGAAGTTCGTCGGAAGGTAACCGATGAGGACGCGATTCGATGGGACACGATTCCGCGAGAAGAAAAAAAAGAAGAAAGAATCGGTTAACGGAACCCGGTCTCGCTCGGAAATAAAAACAGCAAGAAAGTTCGGCGGAAAATGAGCGGCGAAAGGATAAAAGTTTGATGGACGGTGACTGATGAAAAAACTTTAGCGAAACCTGGCCTGGCCGATGGAAAGAAGTTGGATGCAACAGAACCGATCCGAAAACAGCTTCGGGGAGCGTGAACGATGAAAGAGAAAAAGGCTCGGCCGATCCGACGCAACCGGTGAGACAAGACTTCGATGGAACTTGACCGATCCCCGTCGATCGGTTCGACGCAACGCCGCCGATGAATTCGCGCAAAAACGACGAGGGGAAACCAATTTTCCGGCTGTGCGGAAAACTTCGCGAACTTCGATGTATATTGGGTCGAGACGAAATCGGCGACACCTTCTCCGAAAGTAGCGGTTCCTCGAAAACAATGTTCGTCGACCGATTGAAAATCGCGTCGCGACTCGTCGAACCGCGATCGATCAGAATTCGGACCGGGAACCGTGACAATTGTGGATTTCGACCGGTGCCACGGACTTTTATCCGGGAATCGACGCGCGTTCGTCGGCGCTGGGGCTCTCGTCGCGCGAACGTACGTGCCAATTAGATAATAAAGTGACAAACGAGACGGGCGTCGGTGTAAATATGACATCGAACGGGCGCGCGCGTTAAACGCCGACAGATCGGATATATCGCCGCGCCGTTCCGGGACAATTTAATCCGGTCGTATCCGGCGCTTTTGCAACATTTAGGAGGGAACCGGGCTTTGTCCTGCCGCGTCGTTGCCCGCCACCGTTGTTTCGGCGTCTCGAGCGTATTCGCCGAACGGCTATGATCCGACGTACGTAGATCGATCGATCGATCGATCCATCGACGCACCCGTCGCGATCCCGTCCCGAGAGAGAACGCCGCGATCTCGGCTCGCCGCCGACGGGAGAAGCGGTCGTGCTCGCGATTAAAGAAGATCCAAGAGGACGCGGGAGGATAATTAGCCGGTTTCGAGGGCCGACGAGTGCCGAGTTCGCCGGCTATCGATCCTGGTCCGCGTTGCAGAAATAACTTCCGGCCGGGAATAAAAGCGGAGGGAATCGGCTCGGCTGCGCCCGGCTCCGCTCGGTTTCGATTCTCCGTCTCCCTGCCGCACCGCTTTCTTCAAAAGAATAAATTGTCCGGGAGGAAATTCGGCAAGTTGTTCCTCGACCGAAGTTACCGCGCGCGCTTGGGCGTCGGTCGTCTCTTCCACCCTCGTTCTTCCACTGTTTTTCAGTTTTCGCCGCGCTCGCCCGAGATCGTCGAACTGGAATTGTTTAATCGCGTTCGCGGGAACCGAGCTCGGACTTATTCTCCTCCGTCGTTTCCCCGAACAGGAGCAACTTTACGAGGCGCGGCCGTCTCGTCCCCATTCCTCCGAGACGAATGGCTACTTTATATCCGGACGCGTCGCCGACCGAAATTCCCATCCGGTCACTCGCGAGACGATCTTCGATCGAACCCCTTTGGCAAGACGAATTTTCTCCGGTCTCTTTGCCGCGAGATACACTTTTAACTAATCGGAAATAAATCGAGCTCGTCTCGGAGGGTTCAGGCCTCGAGCAAAATCGCGAGAGCCGACTCGCGGAGTTCTACGATTCGAAGCAGAGACGCGAGAGCGAAGACGAATGGATCGCGAAGAATACGCTGCGGGCGTTTAAAGTCGGCCGCGAACGAGCGAACGGAAGGGTTGGAGCAGGGGGGGACGAGGCATTCCCCGTTTCCAAGCCGCGAGATACAGTTTTTACTAATCGGAAATAAATTCGACTATAAATTGAGCTCGTCTCGCTCGTCTCGGAGGGTTTAAGCCTCGGGCAGAATCGCGAGTCGACTCGCGGAGACCGTTCTCCGATTCGAAACAGTGCGAAGACGAATGGATCGCGAAGAATACGCTGCGGGGGGTTTAAAGCCGGCCGCGAACGAGCGAACGGAGGGGTTGGAGCAGGGGGGAACGAGGCATTCCCCGTTTCCAAGCCGCTCCATCGACCGAAAACCGTTCCCCGTCCGCGCTATTAACTCGTTCACGTAGTTAGCGGCTCACGGATCCGATTCAAAGCTGTCGTCGCGCACCTTTGTATCGCGCCGATGAATACGCTTCGACGGCGAAATCCCGGGCAACTTGTTGCTGTATAAATTCACCGGGCAGCTTCATTAATTTTAATACGTGGGCTGAAAAGCGAACCCCGTTCGACCGAGACTCGCGGGGCGAAACTTCCGCCACCGTCCCTCCTCGCCGTTCGCGTTTTATTCGCCGCCGAAAAATTCTAGAAACGTCGCGCAACCCTTCTCCTCTCAGCCGCGACACACGATTATCTACACGAACTACAGGTTCCATCGAAATTATGGTTCTTCGGTCGGTTTCGTCGCGATCGAAATCCGCTCGAGATTCCGCGTCTCGCGTGTAAACGGAAAAGAAGAGGGAACGAAGGGGAAACGGAGGCGCGCGGTGAAGAAGGAAGGATAATGAAACACAAGCGGAGCACCGCGGGCACGTCTCGGTTCGAAATTGCACGCGGGTCACGCCATTAAATCGCGAGGACCGCTCGAAATATGCCAGCAGGTGCCGTAACTCAGCGGCGAAATAAGATTTATGAATTCAATAATAGCGGCGCATCGCCGCCGGGAACAATTAAATGCGGCGAAATTGTACGGCCGCAGTGCGGTTAAATATCGCGATCAGCCGAGCGAGCCGGGAACCGCGGCTGGGGGAAAAAAAAAGATAATAAAACGTTCCGCCGAAAACCCAGGACCATAAGGAGGCCACACACGCGCGCCGAATCGCAATTCGGAAACACTGTCGCCGCTTCCATCCCAATTAAATCTGTGTACGCAGCCGGCAAAGCTGCCGTATAACTGCCGAACAACGCCGGAAGAGCTCTTTCTCTATGTTTCATCGATCGAGCGATCGTTCACCGAAATTTTGCCGCGCCGATCGCGCGAACTCGAGAACAGTTTTTCT